ACCTTTTACTCCACAGCTTGGAGTCTCTCAACCTTCTTGTCTCTACGTTATACCTACTTATATTTGAGCTATTTAGCTATTTGGCTATTTGTTCTTCATTCATCACTCTTTAATCCCCTCCAACATGACAACAACATCCCCCTTCCCCTTCCCACCAACCTACAACTTCCCCCCCTTCTTCACCCCGCAACCAAACACAACAACCCGGCACTCGCAGCTCGAGAAATGGTCCTCTCTAATCCAATCCTGGTGCCGGCATCACCGCCAATACCGTCTCTCCCTAATCGACGCCGTTGAAACCCCACTCTTCCACAACACAGCTCTGCGCAAGCGCCTCGATCTGCGCGAGGCCCGCGCGGTCATCGACTGGATGACCAAGAGCGAAGAGGAGGGCGGTGGTGGGCGGCGAGCGGAGTGGATCTCTGATGCTGGAGGTGCGTCGTCTTCGGGGGGCTTGATAAACGGTGCTGGGCAGGGACCGAAGACTGTTGCGTGGATTTGGTGGAGGAGGCCCGAGGAGTGGGCGGATGTGTTGGTCGAGTGGGTTGAGGGCACTGGGCAGAGGGGGTCAGTTCTGACGGTCTATGAGCTTATTTATGGGGAGGGAGCTATGTCACAGGGTGAGATTGTCTCTTTGGTTGTGGGTGATAGTGTCTACAGCTTGTGCTAATTCGCGTCTACAGAGTTCCATGGCATGGATACTGATGTCATGCTGCGCTCGCTGAATGTCTTGGTTAAGAGGGGCAGGGCGCAGATTTTTGGTGCTGAGGGCCAGGAGGGTGTTAAGTTCTTTTGAAGAGCTCAAGATGAGATGCTGGGATTTCTCTATGAGATAAATCGTGGCTATTCGTGACAAAAAAAAAGGCGCTTCTCATGTGCAGGTCAAAAGACATGTCAATTCACGTCGCTGATACTCCAAATTTATACACAGAATCCATGTTCTTGGGTTGGAAGCCCGAAGTGGATGAGGGGCGTGGACTCAATACCTTGGTATCAGTCTACTGGTCCGTGTTCTCGATCATCTCCTCGGTCAGCTCGTATTCGTCGGCGGCACGTGTCTCCTGCGACATGGCCATGTCAAGGAGCCAGTCAACTCGGACGATCCGGGGGGTTTTCTTGATATCAAGCGCCAGTTGACGGAATCGAGGCCAGACTCGACCGTGATTAGCTCCGGCGCTGCTGAGAAGAAAGACATCCTTGCGAGCAGGGTTGTCGTCCTCCGCTTCGCTTTCCTCGTCGCTCTCCTCCCGCCGAGAATGATTCGCTATAGCCAGACGACCGCGGTAAAGCATGCATTCTCCTCCGTTTGTTTCAACAATAGATTTGAATGCATCAAATCCGCCTCGAATGTCCTCGACGCAATAGATGCGATAGCCCTGCAGCATTTTATTCTTGTTCTTCTTTGCATTTGTTGTGACAGAAGATAGGTCAAAATTGTACTTCTTCTCGGCTTCTTTATCTTCCAGAGGGAAATCGGATGGGTCAAGCAATTCCTCCTTCTTTAGGCAACTGGTGATGAAGTCTGTGCTCACGATCATCGGCGCATACGCGAGTGCATTGACAAATTTAGTGGTTCGCAAGATCGACGGTGCGGCCAAGTGAGTGCATCGTCGGGCATCTTGGACCACCATAATACCGAGATCTCGAAGGCCTCGCTGTGAAAGGGTCAGTAGATAGATCTTGAGCCAATCGTGTTTATAACTGCAATAGCCAAACAAACCTTGTCTGCATCCTCTTTCTTCTCGTTGCCCTTCCCTACCCATCTCTGATAGCCAGTAATCAGGAGGTGCATAGCAATTGGTGGCCGAGACTTTTTCTGTCGTTTAGTCTCCACTGTTTGCTCCCCATCGCTCTCATCCTCAGCTTCAAGTGAGGCACGCTTCTTGTTCTCCGGAACCCGGCCCTCGTCTGACTTTCGTCTGCCACCGTAGATAACACCGCCCACACGTTTCCTTTCCTTTTCGTACAAGGCAAGATCCGGGGCATACTCATGGAGTCGGGCAGTTGCTGCCTCTTTTGACTTGCGGCTACTAGTCGACGACGGGGTCTCGTTTTCCTTGCCCTCGGACATGATTCGAGTTCGTGCGGGTGTTTGGATAGGTCGGCGTGACTTCCCATTACCCTGCGGGGTACCGAGCGAAATTTCCGGGGCATCCTCATCAATCTTCCGTTTCTTCTCAGCGGGAGGCTGCACTGAAACCATATTTTGGTTCTTGCTTTGCATTGCTCGCCGTGGGCTATGGGCAACAGTCTCCCCGGACGAGAAAAAGACCTGTTCCAAAACATTGCGGTCGAGCTGGGTCTGGCCTGCGACTTCTCCGAGATTGGTTCGCAGAGGGAAGTGGCTGTAGCGCGGGTTTGAGGCCGGCTGTAGCTTCCATTTTGCATAACTGTCCTCCAGCCACAAGTGGTTGACAACTTCGAGGCCCCATTCCTTCGCCGCATTGCATTTCTCACTCGTTCCATGTGCCGTAATCAGATGGGTATTTTCTTGCTTTAAGGTTTTGGTACATTCTGCACCTGCTGCTGCAATCAAGTTCTCCAAGTAGATTCTTGCTTCGCCAACATAATTGGACAAACTGATCTTCAACCCTTCAAACCCGGGGACGCCAGTGCGAGAGATCGGGTAGTGCAGTAGTCGCCTGAGAGGTGAAGTATATGTGTTGAATGTCATGAGGCGGTAGAGCCATGCGAGATTCCCAACGTCTACGTTCAGTCGTGATGCTGTGCGGTACGCAAATCCTTCTCGGTAACGACAAATTAACATGTCTGCCTCATCAATATTTGATGTCATTGTAGCACCGCCTTGTTCGAGGACAGCTTGGATTGATCCCTGCAAGTGCGACCCGATTCCAAGATCCGGAGAAAGCATAATAGACTTCCCTTCAAAGACACTCCGTTGGCCTGATTTATGAGCCGAACTGGATGGCGTGGGCAGCTTAGACGGGTCTGTTGTCGACGCACCGACCAAATCCTTATTCTCTTGCCATCGGATCGGAGTATCAGGGCCCACGCGCAAGATCTCTGGGTCTGGAAGTGTATATGGACGTTCATCGATTCGTCGACCAAGTTTAAGGCAGTCGTCAAACCTATTTTCAGTCAGCGAGGGTCACTGGCTGTTGTACCATGAAACTCACCAGTGCGGTAGTACAATCTTCACGTTTAATTTCTTCGCCTGGACAATGCGTGCCTTGTCGGAATCGGCGGTGAGGTCCACCAAGTGTGTAACCATCTGAGAAACTCTTGGAGCGTACAGCCCACCTTTTGCGACGACACCACCTATGATCGCATCCTTGTCTCCCTCGGGTATGTCGCCGCAGGTAACTACCACATCATTCATGAACAGACGCGGATCTGGGCTGTATTGGCGGGGGTTGGCCAATTTTCGTTTCGTCAATGAGGTATTCACCCACTGTGGCTTCACCACAGGGATCAGCGCATCGCAGGTAGTATCGTAGGCTTCAAAGTCGATTGTGGTAGAGATCAAATGGCTGAACTTGGCCACATCGGGGACCTCGGCACCAGATTGGACAATCAGAGGCTCGCCGCCATTTTGCTCGAGGAGAGTAGCGAGCTAGGCAATTATATGTTGTCAGTCTAATACAGGCTATACTAGTAGCAGGAAAACACGTACCTGCTCCGCGGATTCACTCGAGAGATCCTTGGAGCATACAATACAGAGGCAACACTGCTCGAAGAGCTTAGACTCTCCGCTTTCAGTTGTCATGGCCAAATTTGCAGATAAAATATGCGATTGAAGACTTGATCGTTGACTGGAAAAACTCCAAGAGAGTCACATCCAAGTGTAAAACAAAAATGAGGCAATCGGGGACGCGCCCACGCGTGTCAGGAACGCCCGATCACGTGCACCACAGCGCGCGGGGATTGGAATTCGGATAGATCTAATTTGATATATCTAGTTTGGAGACTCAAGCTAAGTCTATTTCTAAAATAAAAAAATCTCATTACATGTAGTATTATCAAAGAAACTCAATTTTTGTATACTTAACATCGGCTCGGAATTGCAGTCAAATAAGGAACTTCCAAAGGAAAGGCCTATGGCTGCTTATGACCTGCCGGATCTCATTTGTAAATTACAATTTTGATCTCGCAGTCATTACGAGCCCTGACTAAGGATTCCTCTCTTCATATAGAATAGTAAAATAGAAAAGACTGGTCTCTGTAAAACTATATTTCCTCTCGTGGGGTTTTGTTTGTATACATTAGGCGGTGTAATTCTGCCAAACAGAGGTTATAATGAGCTCCAGGAAGATATCTTTCGCCCTTCGGGGCATATGGTCAACTGAAAATATACAGAGAAGATTAGCATGGCCCCTGCACTAAGGATGACACGCATAATCAAAGAGAAGCACCTATTTTTTTTTCTTTACGCGAGGAGAGTACGGATATTTTGCTACGATGTATTTGATTGGTCCCACACCACGTGGAAGTCACGTGGCATCGCCGTTCGACCCACCGCGTCTTAAAAAGTGAGGTTATATTGAGCTCCAGGAATAGATCTTTTGCCTTTCGGGCATATTGTTAAATGAAAATATACAGAGAAGATTAGCGTGGCCCCTTCACTAGGATTATACTCATAATCAAAGAGAAGCTACCTATTTTTTTCCTTTCGAGGTCCTTTACTACTGGCTGATCTATTTGATTGGACCTACGGACCGGGATTGTGAGGTCACGTGACTAACACTTGGGCGTAGGTTCGAAGTGACGACGCGCGATGAGACCAAAACGTCTGCACGTTGAAACAGGCAAGAATGTGCTTTCCGATCATAAAATGTGATTATAATTACATTTCATAATGCTTGTATTGATGAACGCCTGCCAATAACATTGAATTCGATCTATCCTCTCAATCAGACAGACGCGAGGCGTTTCAGACACATTCCAACTAGCTTGCTCATATGAAACTCTTGCCACAGCAATCAAGCAGGCACGAAACACCCGTAGTCCGATTGGCTACAATTTCCCTTCACCTTTCATACTCAGTTCATTTCTTCGGACATAGGGCCATATGCCGCGTCCAATTTGCTTGATGGTAGATACAGCCCAGCAAAGATATCAGTGACAGCGTCAACCGGCCACTCTTCTTGGTCCTCGGGCTCGGAGTCAACCTCGGACACAGACTTGGACACAATCTCGCAATCAGGTCGAGATCCAGATGTGAAATCAGGGCTAATATCGGGGTCATTGTCAGAGATGGGTTCAGTTTGAGTAGACTGTTCACATCTAGAGGGTTTCCCAGAGTCGTTGCCATGGGGTGTTGGCGGTGCAACCAAAGGCATCGGTGGATTGGGAGGATAGATTCCGGGCTTAATATTGTTAACATACTTCTCTTGGATTCTTAGAAGAATACTTACGTATCTGGATTGAAACTGTTGGTGAAATTGGGTTCCGTACTCTGCAGCAAACTGGGCATCGGTGCGCCTGGTAGAACATGTTGTCAGTATATCCATAATTCACCACCCCGGAGAGTAACAGAAGAGACCCACGCAATTCCCTCCAATGTATCACAATAGTAGCCGATCAGAGAGACAGAAATATGCCCCTGGCTAGGTTCCTTGGAATAAAGGGCATCCCGCCAGCCTCCCATCAACACCCAACGCTTTATCGCGTTATCTCCAGCAGTATTTTCCTCATTGGACAGGCGGGTGTAATGTGGTAGGTTGGCTATGCACTATCAGCATATATTCAGAATGTACAGAGGTTCAAAACAACGGAATATGTACGCACTGGCACCAGTATGGTATATACGGAGATGACTGTAGAAAGGGTGTAAGTTTTTGAAAGTCGCCCCGCACATCTGAGTGTCTTGAACCAAGATATCGCAGCTATTTTAATTAGCCTAGACCTGACAAAAATATCAGGGAACTTATATGATACACGAAGGTGTTGCAACGATTCATGGTGACCAAAGAGGCTCTTGGCCCATGAATAGTACTAGCAAGAGCAAGTCTGACTTGGCGACTCGATACATATTTACTTTGGTTCGGCTTTAGTTTGAAATCAGGGTTGTCATTTGGAATAGGTCCTATGTAAATTTAATATATTGTTATTGCCAGAGCAAATTGCCTATATTCTATTCTCACCGTGTGCGTAGCCCCAAACTGGATGTGGGTTCACTGCATCCAGTACACCCGGATTGACAAAGTCGCTTTTAGATAACTGTGGCCGGGTTGCCTTCATTCTGTCCAGATGGCTCATGGATGGACGAGCTTGCAATGAAGATGTGAAAGGAGAAAGATGTGCAGGGTACAGTGATGGCAAAGGAAGGATAAAGTATTGGCCATCGTGGGGGGTTTTTATAGACTTCATGCATATGGCGGTGACAAACAAGGAGTAGAGTGTATGCAAGAGGCCTTGTTCAGGAAAGTTCCCTATGTGTTCGACGGGGGAATGAGTGCGATCAACACCTATCCATGGATGTTCCTACATAACTTGCTTGAAAGTTGTCGCTTACCTTAAATCAAAAACCTGAACTATGGTTTTATAGGTATCTGTAGGGCAAACAAATATCGAGTTGTAGTTATTTTTCTCTGCGGACAGACAACCTGTCTATTGTATACCAACACCGTCTACCCACTCCCTTCTTCCTATATTATACAGAGTCAATTACACATCTCAGACTTCGGTCCACCTTTTGTGAAAATATAATTGGGAGTTTTCATGATCTTCGATGCCATACCGACTTGCGTTCGGCTACTATTACAAGGACCCTGAAATATCCCTGAGTTAAAAAATTGCGTGCCAACGTGTACATGTACCTTGTTATGTAGGTAGATAGCTTCAAGCATACAAGGAGATCAGTTACCCAACAGGCGCTAAAGGCAAAGTTTTACTATCTACAACGATCATAAAAATATCGGTATTCATGCATGCTTCAGCTGCTATGTACGAATGGATATGTAAACCAAAAAGTCGGGGAATATCAATATTAAAAACGAGGCCGAACAACTCACTCAGATAACCACCAAGCTAGATGGAAATAGAGAACAAGCAAATGGAAAAAAGAAAATCAAGCTGCCATCGCCAAAACATACGATGTGATACTATCCATGCGCTCAGTCGTCAACTTCAAGCTAACAGTCAACAGCTCACGAGCAATGCGTGGCTCCTTATCCTGCAGCGCCTTCCACTGCACCCCGGTCAAACACCAAGCCACACAATCACGCTCAGCCTTGACTGTCGCCGTGCGGCGCGTATCACTGAAGAAAGGCAGTTCGCCGCACGGTCGACCAGCAACAATGAGCTCGAAGTAGCGGCCCTGTGGGAGGTCGTAGCCAGCGCGCAGCATGCCAGACTCGAGGAGGTGGAAGGCGCGCGGAGCATCGCCTTCGTGGTACAGGACTGTGCCAGCGGGGTAGGATTCGCGGGAGAAGTAGGCGCAGACGGGGAACCAAAAGTCTTCGTTTTCGGTTGAGAGGCCTTGGAAGGTTTGGAGGAGGAGGGGAAGTGGTTGGCGCATGGCGGACCAGGCGGGTGAGGCCATCATTGCTGTTTCGTGGGCTTGGATGGTTGAGGTCGCTACGCGCTGCAGGTATTGGCGGCGGGGTGAGCTGACAATGTTGTCGACTAGAGTGGGGGGTTTGGGTCCCGAGGGCACTGGGACTGAGGTGGGGATTTCGAGGAGCTCGGAGTTTGCAGTTGGGTCGGTGGGTGTGGAGAGTGCTTCCTGGCGGCTGTAGAAGACTTTCAGGTAGTTGTTCTCGCAGAACTCAAGCGCTGAGTTAAGGTCTTCAAATATGGGGACAGCGGACTCTGGCTCGAAGAGCCCTACGTTTTGTAGGGACTTGCCTACATCACCTTCGACATCCAAGCCGGAGATGGCTGTCTGTACGTTGCGCTTTCGGAGAACGCGGTTGATGCGGGTGAATGCTTCTGCGGCTGAGAAGTCGAGTCCATAGACCCGAGAAAAATCGAGAATGATGAATCGAATGGGACGCCGGTCGAAAGCTTCCTCCTCGATCAGGCCACGCATGGTGTTCTCGACATTCACGATGGTTCCGAAGAAGAGATATCCACCAAGCTTGATGATCAGGGTCTGCTGTCCAGCTTCGCGTAGGAATTCCTGTTGGATAGGAGGACGTCGTACCGTCGACCCGGAAATTTCGCCCGAGAATGTTGCTCGAATGGCGGATTTGCGAGACGTTTGGACGACAAAGTTCACGCAGGCCAAAATAATTCCAATGAATATTCCAACCACAAAGTCCCAAGCGCCCATCGTAACGACGATAATAACAACGGTTAAATACTCAAGCCGGGTGAGTTTTCCCCATGTGTCCACCAAGGCCTCCTGCAAAAGCTCAATGCCCAACAAGAAAATCAAGGCACCGACAACCATAATGGGAATATAGCCGATTATGACTGGGCCGATGACCATAATCCCTGCTGTGGCTGCGGCCAACATCAGACCGGCCAACCGAGATGATCCGCCACTTGCAATGAAGAGAAGACTATTGGTATAGACAAGATAGTTCTGCTTTCGTTAGCTCATTAACCATAACTCTACCGATGGGTGTCACATACCTGAATGCTTCCTACGAATCCCGAAAGTGCATTCGTCACTCCATGTGCCATAAGCTCTCTGTCAACGTTGAGATTGTCTTCGCCCGTCGATATGCCGAGAGCAGGCACATTGATGGGCACATGAAGCACACCAAAGAAGGTCAAAGCAAACATGGCCGGGATTGTCTCACCAAAGGCAGTCCAATTTACCGCGGAGAGATCTGTAACGAATCAGCATGGCAACGCCCAAAGTATTGCAGCCAATCCACTTACCGTAAAGAGAATAGAAATGATACCACGGGTTGTTCGAAGATGGAGCATCAAAGACCCACCCATTGTCGCGCAGAGCACCCATAGAGATCCTGGCGCTTAAAATGACAATGTAGAACACTGCAGCAACGGCAATAAAGTACCCACCAACAAGGAAGTTTGAGCGAACAAATCGTTTGAGAACAAGAAGGCCAATGGCAAGGAACAGGGGTATCATCCAAAGAGGGAAAGTATCAAGGTGGAAAAGTTTCTGAATCGTGGGGAGGTTGTACTCAAGAGACCCGGGAAGCCGGGCTGAAACCTCCATTCCAGTTTGTAGAAGAAAGTAGCCCACACCGCCGATACATCCAATGAGAATATGACGGGGAAAGAAGCCAATGAGCGAGCCCAGCCCACAGACACCCATTAAGAAGAACACCAAGCCGGTGAGAATCGAACTGACCGAGAAGGCTAGGATGGTCGTCGCAATCACTGATTTCGGGTTGTCCTTTCCGATTGAATTCATAATGGTAAAAGCCATTTGGTGGAAGAAGGGTACTACTTCGATCATCTCACTTCCTATTCCTCCTTTGAAGATCGAGCCTCCACAGGAGAATACCACTTGGGAAATAATGGTACTGACATAGAACATCGAGATACCGTCAGTTCCTAGGTGAGCGAACAGGGGTTCTCCCAGAGGGAACAAGATCATTCCATAGGATAAAGCATCAAGAATGTTGAGAAGTAGTCCCAGCAATACGGCAGGAACCAGACTGGCGGGGTATAGCACAGCCTCTTTCCATATGACTTGCCTATCCCATGCCTTTGGGTTCGACAGGGTTCGAGTATAATGGGCGACAGATGAAATTCCTTTCGTTGCTAAGTTTGGAGACCTTTTGACAGCGGCCCTTTGGTTCTCGGCATCGCCTGCACTTCCATAATTTTGTGTAGATTTGGATAATAACGAGGTGTGCTCATTGTCTCGTTCGGGTCCCTCATAGATCGTCGGCGGTGGGGGGAAGGAGATATCATCGGTCCCGGATTGCGTGACCTGGTCCTCCTCCGTATCCGTCAATGGACGGCGAATCATCTCTGTCAAAGCCGAAGAGCCTGAAGGCGAAGCAGGGTCGATAGAGGCATATCCCGGCTCCAACAACGCCTCCCCCGCGACAGGATGAGAGCTTGTAGCTTCATCCTGGGAGTAACCTGCAGAATTCTGGCTGCCGTGGAATATATCAAGGCTGTGGGGTAAGCCGGACCCGTCCCTCAAGAGGGATTTTTTATTCAGCGACAGGCCATAGGTAGCGAGTTCCGCGGTCTGGTCACGGAGACCGTCCGAAGCATACTGAGCTGGGTCTGCGATAGGTCCAATGGTCAGTAAAAAATCGCGCGATGTCTCCAACGGTACATTATGCACAATGACCCACCCATATTGCTGTTGAAAGACCGGTGGTAAAATGAACGGTTCGGTGTTCTCGTTGTCGATCCATTGTAGCTGGATGATTCCGCTCCCATTGGACCGGGCGGGCTGCCTAGGTTCGCATGTTCCACCAGCGTTTCTGACGGGGCGTTACCATGAATCTCGCGGTCCAACATCAGATTGCGTGACAGCGCTGATGCGCGGGAGTCGCGACGGCCGCGAGGTTGCAGAACCCCCATGGTCTCTCGCGCCATTGCCGTCCAACCAAGTGATGGCGAAGTCGAAAAGTCAAGAAATCCGGAAGATAAACGGGGCCACTAGCGCATGCGGCGGCCGTTTGGACAAACAGATGACGCAAACGAGACGAGCATTGCACATAAGGGGGCTCAGTGAATTATATGCATAGAAGAGAAAAGTAGTTACCTATCAACACAAATATGAATTAGCAACGGACAAGATAGAAAAGGTCCGAAGCACCGGAGTTTTTGACTAAACGTCCCTTATCTCCTTAGCAAGTCGAGCTAAACCTCATCCGGACTGATACAGATGAAGATACTGGGAAGTGGTCCGTGCGAGAGACTAGGAGGAAACAGCCCTGGAGCCAAGTGGGTAAAACACCCAACAACTCCCCTACAAGGGCTTAGGTTGTCTCTTCAATTGCACTAACTCTGGACTAATTCGACTTTTGAAACTACATACGTAACTAAAATAATATGCAGCAAGCTGCAGCAAGCTGCAGCTCCGTGGTCGGACACAGTGCTATATGCTGCATGATCAGCATTAGCACCATGCGGAGCCTTGTTACTTCCTTGCATAACGCCATAAGCCAATGAGCTTGATGGTCATCGGCCGATACTTGCCTAAAATTCTGCTTGGCTTCGGACATCTTACACATCTGTAGCTTAATTCTTTCTCACCTTTCCAAGGTGATTTTCTAGAGCATCTAGACTCCGCCTCGATGGGTCTTTTACCATCGGCCAAATCTAGCCCTAGAAAATACATCCGGAAAAAAAAGCTACTGATCAAGCCAGCAGTCATACATGATCAGACTCAAGTCACACCATTGCAATGCAGAAAATCATCATATTGGCCGTTAGGTCTAGATACGCTAACGGCGGGGGTATCTCAAAGTACATGGTCCCTTCATAAAACCACTGTAGATATCCAACGCCAATTCATGTTTCTTGTACTCATATAGAACCCGAAGAAGCCAGGTAGTCCAGACTCACATTCAAGTCAATCGCTCCAGGAAACCCTGAGCAATCAGCCGCTCCACATCACCCTGACGGACATAGAGCTGACTGTTCTTGGTCAAGTTGATCACACTAAACCCAAATTAGCGACCAGATTCCCAAACAGTGCCAGTAAAAAAAAAAAAAAACATACCCATATTCCGTCTGAATCTCACCAGCATCCTTCAACACCCGTACATCAATGAACAAATCCTTCGGCGGCTCCAGCGTCCCCGTCAAATCAACATCCGTCCACTGGCCCTTATACGCAGCAAGCATATCCCCGTACTGGCGAAAATACTCCTCCTCCTCGGGACTCAGCGAGCTATGCCCGCTAGCCCCGAGAGCCGTGTGCTGAGCCGCCCCACCGTCCTCGGACGGCTGCTGTTGCTCGAGGATATCCACCCCGGTCCAGCATAGCTCTTCGAGCTTCTCTGTGCGCACGCGGTGGTACGCGAGCAGGCAGCGCTTGTTCCGGCGCATGCACAGGTGGTCGACGAGTAGCGCGCAGGCGATGGCTGGGTCGGCCGAGGGGTTGAACCCGCCCTCGAATGGCTCTAGGAGGCGGGTGACATCGCGGTCGAGATCGCGGACTTCGCGGGTTACTGCGCGCACAATCTCGGTTTGGTAGGGTGGTAGATGGGCGAGGGATTGGGTGCGTTTGGCGTGTTGGACCTATGGCGGGTAAGGTGTTGGTCAGCGGGTTGCGTTTTCTCTTGTTTTGCTATTTGGCAGTCGGTGTTGGGGTTGGGGTCGTGAACACCCAAGAGTAGGGTAAATCTATAGCCCACGTACCAATTTGTTGCCGAGTTCGCCGTACATGGTGGCCACGCGGTCGGGGTCCTGGTGAGGGACGCGACTTTGATCCATTTCGGCGAGCGCCAAGATTGCCTCTTAGTCAGGTGGAGTGATCGGCGCCAAGGTCAAGTATGTTCACTTTTTGGGTAAACGCTCTTGATCTCCGAAATAGATAGATGAGAAGTACATTGGAAGTGACAGTAATGGATTGAACACTGTTTAGGGTTGAAGTTCCACAAAAAGACAGTCAAAAAGGAGGGGAAAAGGTAAAGAAAGCTGGAAGGGGCACAATGGCTTCAATTCTAGACGAATCGGGGGAAAGTGACCAATGAGATTATTTTCGAATGAAAAGAAGTGAGCCAATAATTGAGATTACTATCAGTACTGCATAGAAGCCCTCATTTGGTTGTATTCAGCCTGTGTAATCGGCTCATACTTTGCAGTCCCTTCTCCGACACATGGAATACATTCAATCATCGAGTCAGGATCCGGTGACATGAAATATGGAATAGAAAACCGTCTACGGGTCACACGATCAGCTCCTTCGAATCTATCAGGCAGAGGCGGCAAAGTGACTCGATGGCTGGTAGAGATCAGAAGATCTATACAAGTCAGCGGTTGAGCAGGCCAGCAGCATACCAAGAACGAACCATTACTCCACCTCTGCAAAAGATCCCCCACATTCATCACAATTGCATTTTTGATAGGCGTTGCGGAGATAAATGTCCCCAGTGATGAAACATCCTCGACTTCCAACCCACCACAGTCATCTTGAAACAGCAAGGTGATCGAACTCCAGTCGGTATGTGCGGGGCATCTGGCTGCACGCTCTGCCTCAATTGCTTCTGCCGGGATAGGCGGATAGTGTAGTAGGCGCAGCTGGTTATTATGACCCGAGTGTTTCTCGAGCAGATGGTTCTCATCTAGCTCCAAGCCAACAGCAAGCGCTTGTAGGACCTCCCCTCCAACACGGAAACACTCCCAGTAGAAGCGGTGCATGAAGTCGCGGAATCCTGGGAGACTTTGTTCGGGTAGCCATTGATTAGGCTGAGTGGTATTCTCGTCGCTTCCTATGTCATAGCTTTCCTGTGGCAGGTCAATGAAGCTCAAATTATACACAGATGAACTCGGTGCCGACTGGGAGGTATGAGACCATGAACAAACACAACGGGCTCTCACTTTGATGTCAGTAATCTCCCTCAGCTGGTCCGCCCTTTCCTGGTCATTACCAGTACTCATCGCCTGTGACACCTTCTCCAGCCCGGGCCAAGAGTACCCTCTGTGAACCGCCCATCCCTCTGGATGGGGCGCTTTGAGTTTCTCGTCTTGTGGAAGTTCGAAGAATAGCTTCGACCAGTTGAATGCCTCGTCTAACATCGACTCTGGCAATGAGTGGTTGACGATGTATACAAATCCCACTTTTTTGCAGGCAGCGACGATTTCTTGCGCAATTCGCTGACGACCAGACTCCGTGCTCCAGCCGGCAAAGTCCACGACAGGGATGTTGGGGGAATTGGTGGAAGCCATGACACTTTGAGGTTCTAGTGTAGGGGTGTAATGGTCAAGAAACAAATTAAAGCAAGATAGGAGACAAGATCACAAAGGACAAGAGGGCAAGTTTCCGACCCAACACCCCTCACATGTCAGACTGGGGTACCCCAATGAGAGAAAATAAAAACAATATATTTGTAAATTTCCTTTTCTGGTTAGTTTTGCCGTTTTGGGTTTGGCGCTTCATTGTTGCAGTGCCTTCAATAACTAGTCTTATCACACTTGCATCTCAAGATTGCCCCCTCTGAACATCACCATTACGATTCGCCATGAATACCACACCGCAGCAGGTCCTCAACATTGAGGATGCACTGGTGTCGGAGGCCAACCCCGCGCGCCGCAATGGCCCTCTCGACTACGAGCGCTGTGCAAGGCTACACAACTACCTGGTTGCGTATGGATGGATGGCCCGCCACGGACAAGAGACACCCAATCTCGACGAGTTAGCTAGTCAACCCTTCATTTTTGCGGACGAAGATACATAGGCTGTTCGCGAACAGCTCCACCCGTCAGTGAACTCCTTCCTAGATTCGATATTCTCGCCTGAGTCAGGCTTCTTTTACTGGGTGAGCGATATTTCAATGCAACTGAGTTAGTCGACGAAATTTTTCCAGATAAGGACAGCTATCTAGACGACCTAGAACGATTTGTTGTTATTTATGGTACTGTGCTTGAGTTGGGCTCGCATTGTGTCGGCGTCGTCTATGACCAGCACCTGCACCGCGCTGCTTTCCCAATGACCGTTGAAAATATGGATAGCGTGGAGCCGATCGACGAGCATTAGGATATGTGGTTCCCGCTGGAAACGATCCTTACAAACTGGATTCATATGCTTCGAATCGGCACGGCCGATTCACCAGACGGCGAAGCGCCCGCAGAACTGGCGAGGTCCCGATCGCAAATCGGGCTTTGGTCTTGGCTTCCATATTCTCATAGTCAGGTCAATAGTACTGTGGCTGCTATTGATCGCTACTCGGCGGCTATCGAAGCTAGAATGCCCTCTGGATCGCTTTTGTCTATCTCTAGAGATGCGCCGCTTTTCACAGACGTAGAGCTTGATGCGGCATCTATACCGGAGGAGTGCTTTATTCGTTCGGTTCTGACGAGAGTGAAGACTCCCCGTTTTAAAGCTATTGCGCCCGGCTTGGAAGTTCCGCACGATACCATGGCTTTCACGGCTCGGCGGAGGTTTATCGGGATATCTCGCAACCAGGAGGAATGGGGCAAGAATATCCCGCCCGTCCTACCTAGGTAGTCTTCGCAGCTGCAGATAGCAGCCGCGCGGTCAATCTTGCGGAGGAGATTCGATGGCTTTTCCTTGGGCCGGGAGATGAGGTACCATTCAACGAGAATGTATTCCTACCGGGCTGTATAGTGAGTCAGTACGCCGGTGCAATTATGATAGTGAGGAGGCGGGCTTCCGTCTACTACTGCCTTTCTGGGATCACAACGGAGCGAGAATGAGCGATGGGACATCAATTTCGCCAGATTCTGTCACACAGCTCTTTCAGCATGGCATTATTCATCAGTTTGGTGGGGAAAGGCGGACTCAGAGATTGGAGAGGTTGATAGACCGGTGGAGAGAACTAGTAGAGAGTGGTGTTTGGACGGTTGGAAGAGACGGTGTGGATGGAACAATTGACAAATTCCATGTAGATAGTGCAGAGGATTATTGGATTGCTCCTGACTGGTAACATCTATGGGTTCATTGATGATTTGTTGAAATATTAAGATGCCCAATCAGCCCTAGAGGTACCCAAGTAACAATTTAGCTGCAGTAGGTAAGTGCCAATTTGTGTCCCACATTTTGTTTCACAGGTTTGATTTTAGTACTTATTGAAAATGTTTTAATACATATTACCAGTGTTCCCATTAATAGAAATTAATATAGAAATTAATATAACGCTTGGGCTTCGGGTCTAGAGGGTCGGGCTGCGGTTGCTAGGGCATCCCGGTGGAGATTTGTGACCTGACCTAGGAACTACATCATTTGTTCTTCAAACTCTGATCTTTTCTGGAATCTCTAGAATCGCCCTTCAGACAGCAAGTACGCGTGTATGTTCAAGTGTCGTGTCTTCAATTATACCCCTCGCGACCGGGTGAAGCTAATCTTACTCCTTTCAGTAGTTTGTTGACACTCTGCCCAACCCCGGATAACGGCACCAACGACGAAACGAAGCATGAGAATAGACCATTAAACTCACCCAAATCAACCAAAATCTCGAGTCCATCCCCCTAAACCGACCATTCCAACCCCGCCCCAAGACCCCGATAATGCGGGCTTCCCGGTGGATCTGGATTGCCGCCACATTCCTCACCTCGACCGTCCACTCAACAGAGACAGCACCCTTCACGGCAGCAGAAGAAGCCACAGCCAACAAACGAGCATTTGAAGTCCTGCGCATCCTCAGACGAGCCGACAACAACTGCCCGAGCGGCTTCAACCCCTGCACCGAACTAGGCAACGCAAACGCATGCTGTAAGCACGGAACGAACTGCTCGCGCGATGACGCCAACAACATCGCCTGCTGCGCGAGCGGCGCAAGCTGCACCGGCAGTCTGACTGGCACGAAGACGACAGGCACAGGCACCATGTTCATGTTCCCCAGCGGCGCAACCGCAACCACCACTACCGGAAGCGGGGCAGCGTCCGTTACCGGGTCGACAATAGACGGCGCATACCCATTCGTTGTCGTCCCGACCGCTTTCAACAATGCTGAGACTTGCTCGTCCTATTACTCCGTTTGTCAGTCTGAGTACGCACAATGCACTGGCGCGCTGATGGGCCGCTACGGTGTTACTATTGGTGGTGCCGGCGGAGGCAAGACGGTTCAGGCTGTCACGGCTGCGTCGCAGGCGACTTCTATTTGCTCGAGCTTGAGTGTAGAGGCTTGCCATGGCATTAATTTGGGGTATTGTAGTGGCGTTGCGACACAGACTGGCAGTGCGGACGCGAATGGGAATGATGCCTCTCCTGTGCGGATGTCGAGTCTCCATGATCTGGTCCTTGGGCTGGCGGTTGGGGTTGCGGGGATGTTTATATGATTCATGGATCTGAAATGATATATTGAATGCGTTCTTTTTGTTTGTACATCTTTTTTTTTCCTGTGATTTTCTATCACCATGTGGGAGCAATCAGAAACCCCTGGAATTTATGATGCATCGGGTTCGAGTTATAACTCTGCCAATTCTCTCGGTTTACGTGCTTTAAAAAAGCTGAATACGTGATCAAGGTAGATCTGAGTTATCGCTATCCATCAAGGCACTATTTATGTCCGCATTCCATTCTGACAAGTTATCCCTGACACGGAAAGCTCTAAATATGAGAATATGTTGTGATTGGAATCGGCAACAAGCTTTTCTCAAGGATGAGACCATATTTTGGATGCAATTATCCATTTAGCGTCATATAGGCTGGCCGAATCTTTATCTCTTGAAGGTGCTTGACAGGCTGAAATTAGCACCACTAAATATCTTCCACCTGATGCCGCTTGGTGTATGCATATCAGACGCCGTGGCAAAGACCTACCCTTCTCTCAAGCTCCATTAAGCGGCCCTTCCGATTCACTGAAAAATGTAAGGTGCTCGTAAGTCCGCTCCATACTCAGGGTATAGAAATAGTTGTGATTGAGATTTGATCGGGCATGGTGAGGGATCGTCTCTTTTAATCTAGCCTGGATCGGTAGAAATCCGCTGCAATGTAGATTGATTAGATGAACCTTCCGCTAGTACCCGTGGACGAGGCTGTGGTTCGTGGTCGATATCTGATATGGATCCGCCATGGCGTTCATAAAAAAAAGATTCAACCATGGTTGGTAGAAATGCCCCATTTTTATTTCGCGCGCCTCGGGATTCGTACCTTCGTCGCCCGCCGAGAAAAACATACGTGACTTTCCAACAGTAGGACCAATTATATGCCGTTAAAAGGACCCACATCTGTATACCCTCAATATAGGATCTGTAAAAAAAAAAATAGGTGCTTCTCTTTGATTATGCGTGTCATCCTTAGTGCAGGGGCCATGCTAATCTTCTCTGTATATTTTCAGTTGACCATATGCCCCGAAGGGCGAAATATCTATGCGTTCAATTCATTATAACCTCATTTTTGGGCAGAAAATAACCGCCTATATGTTTGGACAAGGCAGTCGCGGAATCCGGTAAGAGGGTTGTTTGTCAAGACGTGTGAATTTGGATGATAGTTTGATAATCTATTCTCTATGCCTAGGTATACGAACGATTTCTTTGTTTACCGTAAGCCTTCTGTTGGGGTTAGCTTCTAAATCATCTACACTTCAGTAAGGATAAAGGGCAAAAATAAAGCATTTGAATCTCTTAGACTGATCCACGATTATTGTCCAAGGCTTCTCGATCACTGGGCCATATTACAACACATCTGGGACATCGGTTGGCAACTCGAGGCTACCTAACTGTCCGACAGTCTCGGTGATGCATGGGAACCCATTCCAGGTTGGTGATGGAGCATATATCAAACGGTAACAATTCGAGATGAACTGTGTTTAGCAGCTATACTCCACGACCGAGTGACCAGCGGGCACGGAAAGAAGATTTGTAGTATTATTGTCAATAGTCGAAAATTGTTCAGAACTAGCACTCGGTACATTTTTGAAAGATCATCGAGTCTTCACCATCGTATGTATCAGTCTCACGTATTGGAGGGCAGCCTTTGGTCCTGCCACATTTATTACACATCTGGAAATGCTCCGCGACATTGGGTCTTGTTTGAATTCCTTTGTTGCACGGGCACCTCTTGCTCGGTATTGAGATTCTTGATCTTCGGGCTCTCAGAACATCGCGAGGATTGCCCAGTTCGTCGCATCCAGCCCTCATGGAAGCTGGGTTATGTGGCCGGGTTCAGAATTCTTCCAACCCACGCGCAAGCTAAGAATACCTCACGCAAGGCTTCGGCAGGATGCTCAAAATTAGGGTCAAAGATGATAACACGGCGGGGAGCAAGATCGTGGATAATCCGAAGCTCGTTTTAAACGTGGCCAATGTTGGCGATGCGAAGAGTCTCGCCATTCATGGATGACCTAACATAAGCAGCTGTCCGACAACAAGACATTGTCTTCGGCAATGACAGTGGACAGGACCTGCACCTCCGATGGAATCGAATATGTTGATGACATTATGGCGAGTTTCAAGCCATCGTACCAGCAACCATGTGGACAATAAGTGGTTTCGCGCATACACAAGTATGAGTTGTTAGAGATATTTCCATAGCAAGAAAAAAGAACGATATATCTAGCAAGTGAACAAGCATTGTAGGGTCGCCTAGGCAGTGGTACTTTTCTATTAAAATGACTCGCTTGAAGAAGATTTGGTCACCGATTTCACCGAGTTAGTGAACATGCGGAAACCGTCCTTGATCTTTCAAGGTAAACAAAGTCATCAGCATACGATGTAGAGACACTTTAGGGGATGTTCCTTGGAGAGATGTGAGTCGCTGTAGGCAGGATGTCCCCCCAACAGCTCTCCGGGAGTCTAGCTGCAGGTTCGATCGGATCTTCAGGGCATTCAAAGGATTGGGCAATTCATTGTTGGGCTGCCATTGGTGGCACGGAATATCCCCGACCATGACATCCACGACATCCACGCTTTGCTGCGATTTATGGGACTCATGGCTGCCCAACGTACGGAGTATACACAATTGAATTGTGTTCCTCTTTTCGAGTCATAGACCTGAGTCATGGCAATTCTAAAATGGCGGTGTTGGACATTTTAGCTGATTGCTGCCATGCGGGGTGGAGAAACCTGCATTCAACCCGTTGATCGCTTCTGACAGGACGCAGGTAAGGGGCAAACTCAGGGCTTGTTATTGTGAAAAATAGTGTTGGGCTAATCAGAATCAAGTAAAATGTCTTTAATATGAAACCCAGCCACCAGGAAATAAAAACAAAGTCTTGGGTGGGTTAGGCGATTGGTAGGAAATCGGGTGGTTGGGTATACGGAGAGAGAGGCTGGGAGACGCTGTGTAGCTAACAAACTGGAACACTCTCCTCTCTTGACTTTTCTCATTCTTCTTTATTCTTTATCTACATTCCGATAATCTCTTGACGTCTCAGGAATTTGAGATCTTTGTTTAATAGTGATTTACAAAGATCGCTATCGCTTGAGTATACGAGTGAGACAAGACTCCTGAGAAACACCGCTCCAGTCCAAATCCCACAGGCTCTCCGACTCGAGTGATTTCGCTACTGAATTTTGGCAAGCGTTGCCTCGCCCTTTCTTTGCGATGCGGTCTTTATCCGTCCTGCCGGTGCTCTCGACACTTGCCCTACTTCTCAACTACTCGGTCCACACAGCCGCAACCCCGCTCGCATTTGAACCAAACGTTCTCGAAGGAAACAGGCTTGAAAAGCGTTGTGCAAATCCTTGTGGCTACAACGACTGGCTTTGCTGCGAGACCGGTCAAACGTGCAGTACCAACAGTGCCCAAGAGGCTGTCTGTGCAGATGGCAGTGGTAGTGGCAGCAGTGGAGGCTATCAATATTACACAACGACCTACGTGCTCACCAATACCGACCTAACAACTATTACCTCTGTGTGGAGCAGCCAGATCGCTGCAGCTACAAGCACGGGCACATGCAGAGTCGACCTCGGCGAGACAAAGTGTGGCTCGACTTGTTGCGAGGCTGCGCAAGAATGTGAAGCAGGCCAATGTGTCGCTGAGAGCTCTTCCATTGTTGTGACCGCTACAGAAACAGGATCAGGATCAGAAGCCACGCCTGGCGTGCGAGGGACGAGCAATGGGGCAAGCACCGTAACAGCAACCTCGGCCCCAACCACCACGGAGGGATTCACAGCCCCGGTCGGAACAGATGGGGCAGATTTAATCGGGGTCCAAGCTGCAAGCAGCGGCGGACTGAGTGGTGGCGCTATCGCAGGTATTGTCATTGGCAGTATCGTCGGTGCGTTCTTGTTGCTACTGCTCTGCGCCTGCGTCTGCTTTAAGGGCGTCTTGGAAGGCCTGCTTGCGGCACTCGGCATCGGCAAGAAGCGCCGTAGACAGGATACAACCTATATCGAAGAGCGACATTCTCATCATTCGCATGGCAGTCGGCCTCCTCCCCCTCCTCCTGCCGGCCGGCGAACGTGGTTCGGAGCCAGACCAGCCGCGGGAGGCAGTGAGGTTAGCGAAAAGAAAGACTCCAAATGGGGCTTTGGAACAATTGCCATTATCCTGGGTGCTCTTGCTTTGTGCTTGGGATTGAAGAGGAAGAGAGATAGAGAGCACGATGACGACAAGACCGAGTCCTCCTACCCAAGTTCATACTACTACTATTCCGATTATTACTCGGGCACAGGGAGTATGTCTCCCCCCCCATGTATCCCCATAAACGGAAGACCTTTACTGACTTTTCCTTCTTTCACAGGTAGCCGAAGTTCTGACAGACGAACGAGGGATACGCGACGGTCACGACGATCGCGCACTCGCTCCGCCCGTCCATGATAACGTCTGACGCCTCGGTTTGATTTATGCATTTATGGCGCTGGATTTATAACGTGACTAATGTATCACCATGATTTGCACGATGATTTTTTTTGGTTTTGATTTAGGATTGACGATATTGCCTTTTTTTTCGATGTCGATATGAGAGATTTATGGCACACTACGATGTACATATGAAATTATGAGTACAAACTCGACATGATAATATGATTCTTGAACTTGTTTATTACTGTCTAATAAGTATTGACATGATATAATTGCTGGGTCCCCGGGCACCGGCATGAAATAACTCTGAGCAACCTTGGAACAGGCGCATGGGAAATTGCAATGGCTGCAGAAAGCAAACAGCTTGCAGAAAACAATGTGCTCTGTTTGGATGCCCTGCAGGTTTGAAGACGCAAAGTACGCAAATTCAATAGATCCGAGTCAAATGAGATAAAAGACTAGAAAGGACAGAAAAGAAAAATAATTATACATAGAATACTCCATACGGAGTACTCCGTAGGACTAACTAGTTAAGACATGCCCAAGGCCAAAAAATGGCCACACAAAAGTTAGGGGAGGCACTTTATCTCCCCGCCTTCACTTCCGCCTTTTCCCTCCTCCACACTCCTCTGTTCGACCTGGCCCATTCTACCCATTCTACCACTATCCTTGCAACCCGTCTTCAGTCATCAATGATTTCAGTCTCGGGATTAAACTCCTGACGTTGTTAACCCTATTTCAACTTTATCCCAACCCCCATTTTGCCGTCGCTTCGCCAGAGTTCCGATCCTTCGGAGTATTACGAGTCTCCGAAACGACTCATCACCCACCATGCTTCAAGCGCAGACCCAACACGTCTTCTCTCACCAACATCAATACCCCCAGGCTGACCCCTCGTGGATGCAGCATCAGCAACAGCAACAGCACCATCAGGCTCAGCCGCACCCACACCAGTCGCAGCAGCAGCACGCTTCCCTGGTCGCCCAACAGCATGCCCAGGTGCAAGCTGCTGCTGCCGCAGCACAGCAACAACACTATGGCCGCATTGCCATGAGCGGCAACGGCGCTGGAAACCCCGCGCAGGGAGCCGGTGGCGCCGGCGGCATGGGTGGAGATGGTATGTCAAATGCGGTCTCCGGCATGGACGGTGGAATCAGTGAGGAGAATCGCAAGGTCTTCATTTGGGTCGCCGAGCTATTGGATCCAGCTCGCAGGGAATCGGCTTTGATGGAACTGAGCAAGAAGCGGGAACAGGTCCCCGAACTGGCTCTGGTTATCTGGCACTCTCTTTGGTATGGCTCCATTCCCGATGTGCGATCAGCCCCGTCTACAATAACTAACGGTCGGAAACTTGCAGGTGTCATGACTGCGCTCCTTCAAGAAATTATCTCGGTATATCCGCTCTTGAACCCCTCTCAGCTGACTGCTGCCGCGTCAAATCGAGTCTGCAATGCGCTGGCGCTTTTGCAATGCGTCGCCTCCCACAATGAGACCCGCACTCTCTTCTTGAACGGTGAGCAATGTATCTACCATGACCCATGCAAAATCGGTTGCTAATATCCCCTCCTCATTCAGCTCACATCCCTCTTTTCCTCTATCCTTTCCTCAACACCACATCCAAGTCTCGTCCCTTCGAATACCTCCGACTTACATCGCTGGGCGTCATCGGCGCATTGGTGAAGAATGACTCCTCTGACGTGATCAACTTCCTCCTAACTACAGAGATCATCCCTCTCTGCCTTCGCATTATGGAGACGGGATCGGAACTGAGCAAAACTGTTGCTATCTTTATCGTACAGAAAATTCTTCTTGATGATATTGGCTTGGGCTACATTTGCGCGACATATGAAAGATTCTATGCTGTGGGCACTGTCCTAAGCAACATGGTCACTCAGTTGGTGGAGCAACAGACTGTCCGCCTTCTCAAGCATGTTGTGCGCTGCTTCCTTCGGTGAGTCCCTGTGTGATCTCCCTCTCCGTGGGCATCTCTAACAGCAGGATACAGCCTCAGTGACAACAGCCGGGCCCGAGAGGCCTTACGGCAATGTCTCCCCGAACCTCTCCGGGACGCCACGTTCTCTTCCGTCCTCCGTGACGATGCAGCCACCAAACGCTGCCTGGCTCAACTCCTTATCAACTTATCCGACACCGTCTCGGATGGAGCCCCGACAGCCATGTAACATACGAAAAGCATCTGTTTCTTTCTCCCGAAATATTTTACCTTATGATATGCATGGGAAAGGCTTCTGGCGATTAACGGACACAAGGCGCAAAATTGTGGTTGAAGAACTGGATGGATCCAGCGCGTGAGGTATGTCGTCGATTGAGGGCATCGGATCCAAATCTGTTTTTTATTCATTCCTGGTTGTTTCTCTCTTTGCCGCATTTATATTGGGTTTCTTGAGGGTTCGGTGATCTGCGTTGGGGGAGGTTTAATGTATTCCTGTCCTTTACTTTCTTCTTTTTTTTCTTTTCCTTTTTCTATCTTTGCTTTGCATTTTACTTGTGGGAAATATGCTTCTTCTCTTTGATTGTCATTGATTTTCATTTTCGACAGAGATCTACTGTCGCGTGGCGCGAATTCTGGTTGGCGCTGTCGTCTGTGTGCATTTTCTCCTCGTCTTTGACGACCCCCAACTGCTCTGTGTGAGATAGACCTTTGAAAGCGAGAGATATCCAAAGATCCAGGCGTCTGCTTTGTTTTTTATTGTTTTTTATTGATCTTTTCCTGTTTTCTCTTGTGTATATGCGACTTTGTTCTCAAAAGCATGAATGTACTTGTCTCCGATTCATGAATATTCGATCTTCCATTGTTTGCATAATTTCATTGTATAGATTTCTTCTCATCTAAGAATTAAGATTAATCTAATGTTATATGATCGACAAAATAAAATTTGCTCTGAATAAGAATTAATTCTCATTATCCCTTCTCCCCTTGCTAAATTCGACAAACGCATCTGCTCACGTGACACGATCCTTGACGCGCCGCCTTACTGATCGTCTTGCCTCACGACACGAAAAAAAGCCCAGACTCAATCTTCATATTTCTTAGGTATTTTTTTTCAATTTTCACGCTCGAATTTCTCATTTGAAAGTTAGACACTCTCTGGCTTTCATCTCCGCCCAAGTTCCATTCAAGTGAACCCCCTCATTGGACACCTCTAAGAAAACCGGCCTGAACGGTTGTCCCGCCGCGATGGGATCGCGAAAGCGCACCCACTCCGAGGTCGCCCCGGCGGCCGAGCAACAGGCACCAGGAGAGCCTGGTTTGCTCTCACAGCTCAGGAGCAACTGGGCATTTGCCAGCCTCATGCAATACATTGCCATCTTTGGCCAGGTCATGAAGATTGACGAGGAGTTTGGGATTGAGGTATGTTTATTAGCATCGTCTGGGATGAGATCAATGTGCGCTTCGTGTCGCATTGATGAGACGACACACATCCACATCTCACTTGATTGAATTATCGCTGATCTCTTTTGCCCCACGCTAGGACCTAGAAGTCGAATGCCTCAAACCTGAGCCCTCTCATAAACTACTGGAGATTGGATTGTGTCTCCTCAAGTGGATTTCGTCGCATCGCGGTCTTACGTATGTATACTGGAACACGTTTTTTGGCTATCCCGGGCAGTTTCACTGACACTACTGTGTTCGCAGATTCGACAATTTCGATGAATACACCCGACGCCAGTACAATGCGAAAGCACCTAATACCACTAATCCCTTCGGCCACGATGAAGAACCAAATAAGTTCTTGTATTTCGATGTTTTCACCAAGATCCGTGTCCTCCACCAGCTGACGATATGGACATTCTGGAACGCGGACCGCATTCGCGACAAGATGCCCGAAAAGAAGGAAACGGAACAGACAGAATGGGTAAGCTATCTCTTGTATACCTTTCACTCCTAATTATCGCAAACTGACCTTCCCCAGCGTATTGAAGAATTTGGCTGGGACCGCGAGGGGCGTTCATACTATGTCCTAGACGACAATCGTCTTTACCGTCGCACCGACCCACCTCCCCCTCCCCCTCCTCATCGTCCCAAGAAGAAGGCAAAGAGCCGGTCTTCTCGAGTATCAAGAACGTCAAAGCGTACCTCTACAGCAGCGGCGGAAGAGGGTTCCGACGAGGAGAGCAAGGATACCAACGATGCAAGTGCCGTCGCGGCCTTTGCTGAAGACCCTTTCAAGTGGGAGTGTGTGGCTGTCACACTTGAGGAATACCAGGCTTTCTTGGAGACACTCCAAAAAACCAAGGACGCGGACGAGAAATACCTGCGCGATAGCATTGTTGAGCATGTCCTACCTATCCTCGAGAAGGCAGAGGAAGCGCAGCAGCGCAAGCGCCAGAAGCGTGAAAAGGAGCTTTTGAATCTGCAGCTTGTCGCAGGAGCGAAGAGGTCCAGTCGACTCGCCGCCAAGGAAGAAAAAGAACGGCAGGATCGAGATGCTGCTGAAGCCGCCCAAAAGCGTGAAAACGACCTGGCCGAGGCTCGTAAGGAGCAGGCGAGACAACACCAGCTTGAAGAAGATCGACAGTCGCGTACAATGACTCGTGAGCACCGCATCAGAGACCGTGAACAGAAGCGACTGCTACACGAGGCGGAGCTAGAAAGGATCGCGGAAGAACAAGAAAGAATTGATAGGGGTGAAAGCCGGGTGTCTGCCCGAAACCTCCAGGCTGACCTGGAGAAGTCCCAGAAGAACCTGGCAGGACTTACCCAAGATGACCAGTGGGTCTTTGATTGCTCTGGTTGTGGAGTGTATGGCGAGAACTTGGTGAGTTTCAGTTTCCAAACACGTGGCAGCCTTAATCTAACATTTTCCTAGGATGATGGAAGTCACAGTGTTGCCTGCGAAAAATGCAATGTTTGGCAGCATAGCAAGTGTCTTGGTATTTCACAGGAAGCGGCCGAAAAGGAAAACTTTCACTTTGTCTGCAAAGACTGCAAGCAAAAAGAAGAAGACGCCAACAGGCCCAAACTTCCACCCCTTAAATTCCGGGTCAGCGCCTCAGCATCTCCTTCAGCTGCTCCTCCAGCCAGTAAGAAGTATAAGTTAGAGGGTGACGAAGGCCATGCTCCGCCCTCGCCTGTGAAGAAGTCACACCTGGCTCTATCCAATATTCAAAACGAACCCTCAAGAACACAACCTACTCTACACTCGTCCGCTCTTGCTCATGGCAACTTCTATCCTCCTCCGTCTCCCCAGCGCCGGGTCCATCACACAGATCACACTCACCTTCCATCTTCAAGCCCTCCTCGTCCACCATTTTCTCCACCAAAGGGCATGAATGGCTTGCTACATGCCACTATGGAGCAGCACCCGCGGCCATCCTCCTCTCAACACTCCTTTCTGCCTACACAACCAGCTCCTCATCTTCCCCCCGTTGGATCGTTCCCTGTGCGGCCTTCCTCTCACGCTGCCCAAAGTCCTGTCCAAAATCAACCATCTATGTCACCTACACAGGGCAACCCTGATGTTGGCCCTATTGCAGGCTTCCCGCCTGTTGTTCCAAGCCATACACCATCTCCGTGGGGTTCTTTCGAGACTCCGCGTCCGCAGTCAGGTCATGCAGCCACGCCGTCGATGTCTAGCCACTACCCGTCTTTCTCTGCCGCGACGCCCAACGGCAACCACTCTTCACCTCCTCAAAGTTCTCACGGCATGGCTATGTCGGGGATTAGCCCAACTAAGCAGTCACCTCGTCCTCTTACTGGCAGTGGCATGGCAGGCGCACCAGTCCTGCCGCCCATCCGCAGACTGGAGCCGAGCCCGAAGCTCATGGGCCGTAGCTCTCCAGATGCTCCGATTCCCCCGCCTGTCAAGTGCATGACTCCTGAGCAAGAGGAACGCCGACAGAGAGAGAATGCTTCAATGCTACACCAGGCCCACCACTACCAGGGCAATGGCCAGCATCTGATGTCATCGCCATCGCTGAATCGCATTCCTCCCTTGGCCTCTGGGACCATGTCTCAGTACCCTGACCCTGTTCCTTCGCCTCAGCGCGAAAGCAATGGCCAAAACCAATGAATCTCCAGCGCAACAGTGTGAACAGCATGTGATTTTTTTATTTTTTTTTTCAAATACCCTTTCTATTGGCCCCATTTTTTGAGTTTGCAAACATCTGATCACCGTTTTGGATACACCCTGAACTCACCACCGGAATCCGAACCCACAACTTGTACTGCAGTGCATTTTGAGCAGATGTGACCTGTGCTTTCACACTGCTTTTCGACGTCTGTTTTAGCTTCTTCAGAACGTTGCACGAGTGGATCATTGTGCGCAAATGGTATCCATCCGGGTATACTTTTCCAGGCGATCCGGAGTCATTTTCCCTGAAGACGACATGTCATGCATCGAATCTCAAAATCTGCCAAAAGAAGTCTTATTGGCCTGACAGACGCTCATGTTCTTTTGTTCTTTCTTTGCCTTTCCCAAAAGTTCTGCTATTGCAGTCAAACCTTGTTGAAGTACCGTGTTTTGATAACGAGTTTTCCCTTTGTCGTTGATGTCAGGGCTCTGTCTCGGGGGAATATTCCTTCGATTCTCTTTGGAGCTGCCTGAGACTGGTGGGTTGGCGTTTTGAACCCCTTTGTTTTGTTCTTTCCTGTTTTACAATACATCAAGATGGATGGGGAGATGGGGACTCAAGCGGCGTTTTCAGATGGTTGGCCCTGGACCATTGTTTTGGTGGGCGAGGACATGTGTACTCTAATAGACAATGTTATTTGATTTCGATCTTGAACTACTTGATGGTTGATGGAATTCATAAAAGAGTAGATGGGAAATCTTTGGACAAGGTCAAGATATACATTCAAGATCTATATATTTGCAGCCCCTTGTCCAGGTAGTAGAACAACATACACAAAGCACTGTCCCCAATGCTTATGGCTTAACCTATTGTAAACCATTCCAGTTGATCAAATAAACCACTTCAACATCTATTCCCTACAAGTTGGCTGCGCATATCCTACCGTCCATCTAAAAGAACGTGGTAGTCAACACAAAAGTATTATGCCTCATCCATATCGAAATTGACCTATATGTCGATCGATATATACCCCTGGCTACAAATGCAATGCCCAAACGCAGTCCTGCCCAGCTGAACAGCCAACCGTATGCGTCTGGTGACATACCGAGCTGCATACTACCTACATCCCTGTATGACACGAAAGCGGCTCGCAGCCTTTGAACCTTTTATCCCTAGCCCCTGTCTCTCAATCATATTATGCCACTTCTTTATTGAATGTCTCATTTCGCTCGTAAAAACAATAGAACATAGGGATCGGCTACGGAGTAGAATAATAATAATAATGATAATAAAAAAGGAGAAATAAAAGAACGTCTTCCCGGCCCCCGTCGCAATGTCCCACTTTGCAAGGGTATTAGTTGTATTAGGTAGATTCCCGATGAGCAGGGTCAAAGTTCACGATAGTACGGAGTTCGTACTCCGTACTCCGTCCACGGCTACTGTAGATATATTACAAAAAGCTAGTAAACCCGTTGGCAAAAGTACAGCAATAGCATCTAGCCTACTCTGTCGGGTCTAGCATACGGCGCAGTCAACTTACATACTACTTGCGAGCGACTGTCCCCGGCGCTAAATGGAGACGATCGATGTAGATCATGCACTAACTTGCATAGCGTTAGTTGCATGCTCATCTGCCCCCACCTTCCCCCTATCTCACGGCAATTGGAGTTTGGAAAACAGGATAACTAGTTGATCTGCCGTCCTGTCATGTTGCTGTCATAATTTCACTCTAAAAGGGGGCTTGGGAAGGGATATTGGATTTACTTAGGCTACGTAGGAGAAATTAAGGATAAATGATGAAAATTAGAAAAAAGACTTCCAAAAAAGAGGAATTTAGGAGATGAGACCAAGACAAGTGAGTTTGTACACCATAAGAGCACAATATCGTCGGCAAACCCCGCAAGATCCGCAAGATCCGCAAGGTCCGCCGATTCGGACGAATGTGAAGGTGAAGGTGAAGGTGAATATGAATGTAAATGTCATTTCCCCCACCTGTTTACCATGGTTCTCTCCCGAACTTGAACAAGATCAGATCTGTGTGGAACTAGGTAACTACATATGCACGTTCCAATGGTATATTCAAACCAAATCGAAGATATCTACGACGTACGGAGCGACCATGAATCCAAATCCCGCCCTATCTTATTAATTAGTATGTCTCAGTAGCGTAGGCATACAAATATGACTTAGTTCGCCTAACTATTAGTGGCCGAGAGCCGAGACTAACGGGCACGTACTCCATACATAGTAATTGGAGGGCAATGATTAGCTATTAAAATGAAGCTCACTAATCCAATCAGAAAATAGTCGCGGGCTTCATTTCGGGATCTAGAGAGATTTTAGATTATACGTTACTCTAGACTCCGAATTTACTCCACACTGGATACTCCGTAACTCCTTTCAGACTCCTGACGTGGCTAGAATAGGCTTAGGGCAATCTAAGTACGGTATATAGGCATATTATTAGGTTTACACGGCAGACACGATCATGATCCGAGCTTTTTTGCCTTTTTTCTCCACTTATGCAGCTCATAGCCTCTTGTCAGAAATGTAGAAATATAAAAAGTGGGAAAAATAGGGAGAGTAGAGTTCCGGAGACTGGCCCGGCCACCCGTGGTGCTGCCGGCTCCCACGCTACTGGAGGGTTCAGTCTGGACTGGGAGTGCTTTAGAAATAACTATATTATTGTATTATAGCTATGGATATGGGGGAAAGTTGATAGAGGTTTATGGTTTCAGGAATATAGACGTCATGACTATAAATCACGAAGTGGGAAGAAGGGAAACCTACAACAACGTTGTAAGAATGTTTAGTGGAATGGGATCTTGGCTTGGGAAGCATTTGTCAACCGCGTCAATTTCAGTCTCAGACCCGGGTGGCCACAGGCGACTATTTACCCCCACTATAGGCTAGTCTCCTTGACACGAAAGGAAAGACAATTGCATTCGGCTTTGGGAGATCTCTTTTTTTGGATCCAAGTATGGAGTACTCCACCATATGCATAGATCAGGTACAACATCTACTTCCATACCTATATCCATATAAGTATATCATAAACGAGCTTAGATACTATACCAAGCACTGGTCACTGCTTCAAGACCCAACTCCCTGCATTTATTTCATCTTTCCCCCCACCCTCATATTCACCAGACCAAACTAGGAACCCAACCCGTTCTACTCCGTACAAATTGAAGATCGGGGTTCCCACTTCCGTTTGGGTATTAACCAGGATGCTTCGTGACAAGGCAGTCATTAATTTCTCTTGGCGCGTATAGCATTCCTCGTATCCCGTGTTATTTCTGTGTTTTCTTGATTAGAAATCAGCGAAACTCCTACCTAAGGTACACGAGAATCCGGAGACAGCCGAAATCCCGCGTAATAAACCACTTATAGTGCACCGATACCCGCAGAGGTGGAGCAATAGTCAAGGCACCGTTGGATGTGACGGGAGAGTGACTATCACATATGTTGTACGTCGCGCGAAACTCTGGTACCCACGATCTTCGTTCTTGCCCTTGCCTCGTCTGACTCGGCTGGCCTCGCCCTCTCTAACTCTTCCCACAGGCCTCCGATTCGCCTGGATCATGTAATGGAGCTCATGTATGGAGCTTTCGGTAAACTATAAAGCTCTGACTTGCCGTTATTTGATCAAATTGAGTAACTCTCCTCGCCGATCTGTTCATATCTGGACAACGTACATTGTACAAAGTAGGGCTACTGGTGGTCCGGAGATGAACGATGTCCGCGGATATCTGAACAGGTGACCGAAAGCCAAGCCGACCAGGGTCCTGGGTAGATGGAGCTAGGTTCTTCCAAGGTTAGTACGGCCTGGGGTACGGATTAGTACAAAAGAGTCAGTCCATAGTAGTTTTTGTATTATGACTGACTCGGGTCCTGCTTCCTCCGACTAGCTTCTGACCATTAGGTTGTAATTGTTGACTTCAGGTAATTCTGAGGGTGGAAAATGTATATTGACCATGGAGATGAGAGAAAAGAGAACGTTGGTACCTAGAATCCAAATCTAGTATTCTTTCTATGGAGAAGAGACAAAAAGAGAAGGTCGGATCCGAGAAACTAAATCTGGTATCTCCGACATATTTCTCCAAATACTCCAGATATCTTCCCCAAACTCTCTCCAACACCTCTCTCCTCGTCTCGGGGTTTGCTTCCCGTAGGAAACACGGTACCCTCTCGACCGATCTTGGACAATACAAGTGAACATCAGTCTATACAAGTTGATTAATAAACAAGAACCACGCCTGGCGTTTCGGGCAGTCCGGTCTCCAAAGAACGGGTCGTCGGGCGTTAGAGTTGTGACAGCCAAATCACACATATCAACTTTCCACATCTGAGGGGCTCGGGGGGAGGGAAAGTCTATTCCCCAAATCGTCGATATAACGATCGACGCCCGTTACTGCCACTATGCAAAGCTAGTGGGGATTAACCAAAGAAAAAGTATAAAAAAAGAGAGAGAGAGAGAAGAGAGGGGAAGAAACGAAGACGTGTATTCAACGTTGGTTGTAAGGATAAACATGATAACATGACTTCTATACATTAACCGCAACAGGTTAAGCGCAACAGCACAAAAATGGCGCAGGGACAAAAGGTATGCATCTACCGAGCATGAAGTGCGCCAGCTCAAAAGCTGCATTTACATAGCTCTGTCGCCCGTGCGCATTCTGGCAGATAAACCGTCAACGGTCTCAGTCTTGAACCAATAGCGAGGAAATCTAACTGTTGGTTGAGAACACCGCTATATTTTGGCTGAGGCCTGCAGGTTATTTCAAGCTGCGCTTTCTCCTTTTTGGGCAGCAAGCGCATCAGACCCTGGTATATATCGCTAACAAATCTAATCTAGTCGCTCCAGGGCTGTTCCGGGGTTGCGCAAGAGATTCCTCGTGGCGGTCTGGGAATTGGCAACACAAATCCGATCCCACCATCTCACTCACCCATGTCAATCGTCGCTTGACTGCCGTTCTAGAGTTATTTATTGGTACTTTTAAAGATACTACTACTCGGTAGTTTGTCAAGGTTAGGGTTTGATAGGGTAGAGTTAGGCTTTATGGGGCTCGAAGACATCACGGTCCACGGCTGAACGCCGAATGGCGATCCGCCGTTTGCGCGTGATTTATGGCTGGTCAATTCCGGTCCAACTACTTTTTGTCCTTCTTGGTTTGTCAATTTCGGTCTCCTCCCCGCTTCTTCTCTCTCCCCGGCGCGGCCTGACCGCAAGCCGTAGACTGGGACTTTGGGTGTCGGCAGATACACTTGCAATTGGGTAGTATGAACCCATTGAACAGGTGGCATAGCGTTCGTGGCAATGATCGAAAGCAGCTACACTCGAAGTTAGATACATACACGAAAGCAGAAAGACCCTTTCACAGTCGACTATGCTGTTAGGTAAAGCCAAGCAGATCGCAAGATAACAACAGCAACTACCATATTCGGTTGGTTCGGCCATGTCAACCGGGGCCCCTGCAAAAGGTGTATGACTAGGAGGGACTACAGGGTTCAGGGTATCGGGGTATCGGGGCCCATCGGGGAACATGCCCAGGTGGCCTCGAATAAGCATGTGAGTAACAAAGTTGCTGAGTTCAGTCCCTTCACTCCTTTTTTATGCTGGTCCTCATTATCAAATGTAGATCTCCTTCCACATGATACTGATCAGTCCCCTGGACCTTCTTTCTCTTTCTCTCATGCTGTTACTACGAAAATAGCATCAACAATGAACGTGGTAAGATTAACTTGAAACGAAGATATCTTTAGAAACACTCGAAACACTTGAACAGGCGATCAGGGGGTGAAAGAGAACGACCTATATGAAACGCCGCCGTTTAGCAGTGAGACGGCGGAGATATGTGCGCTTTGTGCAATCCTAAAGCAGTCGAGTCAGCAGACTGAACTGCGACCAACTGAGTATTAGAGTTGGAGCTTACCCTCTTCTGTCGAGGCATCGACCTTCTAGAAGGCCTTCGAAGAAAATCAGTGGGGGCTTGAGCGGGGTGATCCTGGCTGTCAATCTGGTTCATACTTCTTAGAGCAGAGTTCGTGAATGCGCAGCCTGTTGCAGCAGTGGCTCAAAGGCTCGAGCACCTCATTTGTGGACACCGTTTGCCTCTTTTAGAAATGTGATTCGGAAGTTGGGAACTCCGGTTGACAGAGCTCTTGGCTATTGCTACTGATGATACTCCCCCGGTGCGGCGGAGAATATTCCACGGAGTATTGATCCCTCAGCTTTGGTCCCAGGAATTTGTAATTTGAGGATATGCACTTGCGTCAAAGCTAAGTTCTGATGAGTACCAGCTACAGGAGTTCAAGGACAGGGCATTGGTGAGGTATTTCGACTATCGAATTGGGTTCGGTATACGGAGCACCAGCAACTGAGTTTGGCCATCTTTCCCGATGCCCCCGAGTCGGTGAAAAGAGATTTGTTGCCCTCTTAATGTTACATGTTTGTATTTCTTTGATCGCTTTAATCTTTCAAAACACGAGGAATGGAATACGTTTTGCCTCAGCCCCATAGCGTCCAGACACATGGACCAGGACGAATAAGATGCTTACAAGATATCTGACAGGGCCATGTTGGGGGATAAAAAAAAGTAAAAGAAAAGATAAGCTCAAAGCGCAGGCTTGTATGGACTCCCCACCTTTTTTTGAGCGAGGGGCAACCCACATGGACATGCAATGCAGGTCTCAGCCCTCCAACAGTTCGTAGATCAAACATGGCATCTGCACGTTCTCCATCATTACAGCAATTGATTGACATTCTGCGTCCCTCTAGGCGATTTTCGAGTGCCCGACAAGGACAGGGTGCAGGGGCAAACAAAGAAAAACATGCATGGCCAAGACTTCAACGCAATGAGATCCATGCAAGAACGTGGCTGGTTCCTGCGTCCAACATCCTAACGGGCTACGAGCCAGTCCACGAGGAAGGACAGTCCCTTCTAAAAGAACTGCAGGGCTTGGTTGGTCTCTCACCGTACATCGTAAACAGCCACATCCAATCTTTGGAAACATCCTTGTACCCAGTGACCTATCTTGGTGGCCTGGAGAGGGGCACAGTCAAAGCAGTATCCACCCCAAATCCGGATCTGCTAGTCTTGATCTGGTTGTATGTCCCCGAGTAAGCGCGAACCGCCGTGCATGTATAGAGTAGTGGCGAGGGCTCGACAACATTTGTCGGGGAGATCTTCCAGGGTTGTCGAGTTCAAAGAGTTCAATGAGTTCATGACTTCCTGTGGCGTTGGGTGCATTTGACACCGATGAATCTAGAGATGAACTGGACAAGCCGATGTCCAACATCGAGCATTACAAAGTATAGCTCGGCGTTGCCGTGCAAGTTAAAGTCTGAAAGTCCAAATCTACCATCTATGTAGTTGATATGGCACGAGCCGGGGAGTATCCACAGAAGGGAACCCGAGAAGTGGTATAAATGAGGGCACGGCAGGTCACGCCCCGAAAATGCCCCAGTGCCAATATTTAATTCAACCATTCCTGGCTCGGGCCTTTGCCGGATACATCACCCCGGCGGGGCCCGGCCAATCAGAATCGATGTGGCGCACTGGACTTCCAGTCGATTTTCTGGTCACGACATCATTTTCGGCCTTGGAACCGATGTCAAGTTACCGTCGATCAGCAGGGGTCCACATACTCCACTACAGCCGCGATAGGACGGGGCCAGATTTCCCCCCGAAGCTCAGACCTCGACACTCCCTGACATTAATAATTATGAATATGTTAGAAAGGGAAAAGGGAAAAATGCCCCCCGAGTCCCCGAGTCCCCGGACCCAACATTACGAACCAACTATCAAGACTGTTGCCTTTTTCAGTATAGTAATCCATGGTTGACGATCTGAGCAAGCTATCTGGGGAATTTGAGGGGAACTAGTTCCATCGCTCGATTGATTGAACCGTGGGATATACTTCTCTACTAGAAAGGGTCATTCATGACTCGCTACGAAGGAGACGACCTAATCGATCTAATAACCAGTGGTTGTGACTAGTATTGTTATGATCCTTAGCATGTCTTGCAGGCTTAGCTTTACCCTAGTTGTACTAAGTTATTTAGACGTCTCCATTTGAGGGTGTTATACAATATCAGTATACCGCGCTTGACAGCAACGAGCTACATGCTTTTAGTGCTTCATTTTCCGGTTTCTCTCCAAGCTAGCATCATTCTGGATACTTACATCTTCTATACACCTCCCCGTGATTGCTTTTTCCAAATGTCAAAGTGTCGAGAGGTATAGAAAATACCCAAAAACAAATATTAGAAAAAGAAAAGAAAATATTCCAACGACCCTGCATCTAAGCTAAGATCACACTATGCCATTTCCCAAGCACCTGATATCTGAGCCCCTCTTACCCCGGCTCCAGATGTCTCCTTTCCATTTGCCATTTAATCTGGCCTATTGCATCCCCGGGTATCGGGCGCTGGAAAGTTTTTACAGGTCTATGGTTTGCCCTTCCAGTGCAATGGCTCCATACTGGAGACTATGTGGACTCTCTTGCCGGGGTTATTCGGTACATCGTCAATCCTCCGAACCTTTTTCTTTCTCTCTAATCTATTTGTAGTTCTCCCAAATTGGCACAAAGACTAGATGTTTGAGATATTGCTGGGATACGTGAAGGGTGTAACAAGATATGTGCCATATCCATCAAACTATTATAGACAGTGAATGGAAAAATGGAAAACCAATAGAAAATTGTGCATATCAGGCCAATAGCAGATCTGACTAGGACCAAAAAGGTAAACAATCTGCTACATGAACGCCTCCACCAGATTTAGAGTAGAAAAGAAAATGGAAATGAAATAAAGAAAATAAAGAAAATGGAAATAAAATAAACGCTAAAATAAAATAATAATAATCATAAATCATAAATAATTATTAATATTATATACCTAAAAAAAAACGGCACTAACCACCAACCAAGAGAAATAGATCCACGCCATGCGGATTGTATTCCAGGCCTTCTTCTTGAGTCAGTTTCAGCCTCTGGGTGTTTGCGTATCGTCTCTTCTCCCCTCTGCTACTCTATTTATTTCGAGACCTGCCCAATTTACAAATCTTCAATCTCCACGTCTTTGGCTTTTTGTCTCTCAAATCCTTTGAACTTGAATCCACATATCCACTTGATCTTCATACTTAGTTACCTTCACACTTACTTTCATACATTCACAACTTCATCCAATTGGATTGTTGCAGTGTTTGTCTCACCTGCCAGCAGACTTATCTGCAGTCGTGTTTGAGACCTCTCTTTCAGGGGAGCTCAACTGCAAGACAAACCCACCATCTGGGTAGGACAGCAGAGAATATCTTTATTCTACATCTCTTCCACTTCTTTTCTCTTTCTGGAAATTCTCTTTCTCTTCTTTACTCTCGCTGGACTAGCTTTCTGGCGATTCAACCTGTATCAGCTTATCTTTTTATCTTGTCTATCAGGGTCTAAAAGATTACAACAATGACTTTGGTGGCAAGACCCATTCCTCCTACGCCTCCCCAGTCCACAGACGGACATACTTTGCCTGAAGAGTCCTTCCAAGGCCCTGGAGCGTACCGACCTGTGTGCATCAACATGCAGATTCCTAGTGACGAAATCAACAGTGGTCACCCCCAAGAAATCGTGAGTCTCTTGTCTTCTGGCTGTTGCCTGATAGTAATGCTAACCATCCTAGCACTACGGTACTCCTCCTTTCTATACCGCCCCCAGTTTTCCTCACAACATGCCTCCTCAATCGGTAAGTTCGACTCCCATATTGCCATTTGACTGCGCTTGAGACTGACCAAGATACGTAAAATCAGATTGGGATGTCTGGTACCCAGGCCACCACGCCTCCTCCGGTATCTGATGAAGATTACATCCCAATGGGGTCACCTACCATGATGACCCCTTCGTCATCTTGGTCACAGTCCCCGAGCACTCGTGCCAAAGCATCAGGCAGGGAAGCACCAGCCAGGGCAACACCAGTAAGGGCAGCCAGACAGCGACGCCAACGTAACCGGAGAGAACTCTCCGATTCAGGTATCAAGCTCGATGGACCCATCAGTCAACTTACTGAATCTTTTCACACTACTCCTATCAAAGACATGGACGCCTGGGTGTCTCGATCTGCTCTTGAGAGACAGGACGAGGTTCGCAAGAAGAATGGGAAGATCTCTCGACCCATGAATTCCTTCATGCTCTATCGATCTGCATACGCAGAGCGCACCAAGAGGCTAGTGGGCGCGAACAACCATCAAATCGTCTCAAAGATCGCGGGCCAGGGCTGGAAGATGGAGCCCATTGAGATTCGCCGAAAATACGAAGAACTGGCAAAGTTAGAACGTGACAACCATGCCGCAACACATCCAGACTACAAGTTCTCCCCTAACAAAGCCCCAACCAGCAACAGCCGACGTGATAGCGGCTCTCCTTCGCTCACGCCAGGACATATCGCCGGTGAAGGGGGTTTCTCTGACATGGAAAGTGACTTTGGATCGACTGCGTACCGCGGGTCTTCCTACGCCCACTCACGGTCCCAAAGCTTCGAAGAGACCTACTACGATAGTAGCCGGGATTCCTCGCCCTTTGGGCCCGACTCCATGATAACACCTGGATATGTTCACCCCTCCTGGCAAAACACAAGCCACCCAAGTGGCCTCCCAATTATGCAGCCCAGCTCTCTACAGGGTTCCGAATCCTACGGTGGAGACATGCATTACCGCCCCATCAGCCCAAACCAGCAGGATATGGGATATGGCTCTTCCCTTGCTGGGCTCCCTGGTGCTGCTCACCACGAGTTGCTCCAACCTCAGATTACCCACGGTCTCCCCATGCACGACATGGATCCCCGGCTTCTTAGCAACGGCGGCGAGTCTTCTGGAGTTGCCAACATGGCCGGTCCTTCCTACACCGCCACTCCTGGCTCATACTCTACCTGGGCTGACGAGACTCAACCCGGCTTTTACGCAGCCTCATCTGCGCCGTCCATGTCTCCTAGCACCGTTTCATACGCTCATCCTAGCATGACCTCTGCCTACCTCCCCAGCATGCAGAGCCTTGAGGGCCGGGATTCATCGTGGGATATGCCTCGCCATGAAAGCATGGCTGACCCCACTGGCGCTGAGTTTGAGTTGTGGTGCTCTGCTGAGCCCAACTCCAACAGCTACTAAGCACTGGCAAGAATCAAACAACGCCCATGGCTATCTCAATGGCCTTTCATAAGTCTACCACGTTATTGAATATGGGCTGACCAATCTTGTTTCTGTACTCCTGGATGAGACCACGAACAAGCGTTGGCCACGCCGATGGGCTTTCCAAAACAAAGCTCAGTGGGAAACGGAGTTTGGGCTTAGGCGTATGGGGTCCAGGAATGATTTATTTGGTTCGGTCTTTTACTTTTTCATACTGTCATGCCACCCAATCTGGTATTTGTCTTATTTTCATTTGATTTTCCGATCTGCCTGGAAACCGATTCGGCGCTTAAGGTCTTTAGATTTCTGTTATTTCATGTCGAAGGAATGATTCACTGGAGGGAATTGCGATCTTTTTCATGCGATTGATTTTACCTACTCAAATATCCATTCAAATTTTCTCTATTTCATATCTCGAAAGCATTAAACATTAGGTAAAAGGTTGCGTGGATTGTCACCTGTCTCAGCTAGAATAGCACCCACACGGGCCATCTTGGTAATTACTCCTACTTTATACTGTAAATGGCAGTGATATCCCTCCCTAGAGATCTCGGATCTCATGGATTGCATCAAATATGCTTCTGCCTCGTTCTATCACACTCTATCACACCGCTACTTGAGAGATTCGCGCGCGGTTGCCATATTCTAGAAGGCCCCGATGGGGCAATATGAATCTGTTCTTTCCCATATTTTTGTGGATTTACCAGATTTTCAAAACTTATCTTTCTCCTTAAATAAAAAATACTAGATCCCTTTATGTATGAGGACTTGGATTGGGATTGTCCACCTTGAACGAAGCCATTCAAGTCCAAAATATCTGTTATACGGGCTTGGTACCACAAAATGTATGTGTAATTATGCCATTTCTACTGGGAAATACCTAGAGACGCTAAAGGGGCTTAAACACTGGAGGACCTCTTTATTTCTTTTTTCTTTTCTCGCCCAAGGAGCTCTGGATAGCATTGAGCCCGTGTTAAGCTCGCCTTTCCTAGACAGCAGTTTATACGGTGTGAAAGGCTGACATCAATCTTGGTCCAATCTAGTTAGATCCTCTCAACAAAAGAGACACATAGCAGAGACAAATACGTCTGCCTGTCTTGTCCAGCACAAACTCCATGCTTTTCTCTGGGACTCGACATCTCTCGTATGCCTCGTATACCCCGAGCCCTAAGTCAGGCAATACTCCACCGCCCCGCCTACCCACCGCCTTGACCCCAAACGCCTCGCCGAGCAAGTTGAATTGATTCTGTTGATCAAGACATTGCACAGAGACACGCGTGCGAGACAGTTTCAATAAAACCAAATCGGTCGATACACATTTACTCCAGGAAGAAAATCAAATAACTAATCCGGAGTCCACGACAACAAAACAATTTCCCTTCCGCCCGTTCTCTCCGCACCCCTCCTACCCCTCAACCACGTTCAAGCTCCGAAGACAACATCCACAGCCAAGATGTCGATTCCCAACGAAGCTCTCCAAAAGGTGTGTCTCAAGCTGCTCAAATTCACCTCTTTGGGTCGGATACTGTGAGAAGATGGCTAGGGGAAGTGGTGTGCCAAGTCAATTCTGTCTCACTCAGTCTTTTGTCTCCCACTGGTTTCCGATTGAGGATGTCAATTCCAATAAAGATGTGCAAATGCTAACTGTTTCAACAACTACAGCTACTCCAGGAGATCGAGGCCCGCGCGATCGCCTCGCAGCAGCAGATCAGTATCACCAAGGCCCATATGACGGCCAAGCAGCGCGATATCCGCATGCTACAGCTTACATCGAAGGAGTTGTCTGAGTTGCCTTCCGAGACGAGGGTTTACGAGGGCGTCGGAAAAATGTGAGCATTTTTGTTTTTTTCTTTTCCTATCTTGTCTTTTTGTTTCTTATTTATTTCATGTCTCTTTTCCTGTTTTCAATTTTGCGACCCCGAAACAGGGAGACAGTCGGGGGAATTTCTCATTGGCCCCATTTTTCGTGAAACTGAGACTGACTTATCACCCTGTTCCAGGTTCGTCAACGTTCCCGTCAACACAGTCAACAAGCGCCTTACGCGCGAGAGCGGCGAGGCCACCGCTGAGATCTCCAACCTCGAGAAAAAGCTGCACTATCACGAGACGACAAACCAGAAAAGTCGGGAGAACATGGAGCAGATTCTCAAGTCTGGTGGGAGGTCGTGAACAAAATGTTGAAATAAGAATATGAGACGAGAGCAAGACGTGAGAACGCGAGGGGATCCTATGTGGGGGGTATCCTTGATTGTGGTATCTTTATACCAAAGGTTCAGCGATTCCCAGGAATGTAAATCTTAATAGAAAGGAACAGACAAGCCTGATTTGCTCTGTCTTTTTCTTCCTGGTGAACCTGCGACACAGGTGGATGGGTTGAAGATGCCGTTATCTCGAGGCTGACGTGTGGATATGATACACTATGCCTGGGGGAGATGCACGGAAGGTACAAATATTTGCCTTTCTATGTCCGGCTGGCCTGGTCACATTCTGGCGACTATACATACTTGGGTTGCAGGCTGGTGACTTAGATACCCGGAGTTACTGTTTGAAAAAATATCTTTGGATGAATCAAGCGAGGAAATAGTATCTATGATAACCTCTTTGCATATACCTCCTCCACCTTCTATAATTTCTCTGTCAATGCCTAAATCTTGATGAAGAATTGATTGATCTTCGGCCGTCTAGCGGGAGAGGGCCATCGAGAGAAATACGTAGTCCCGGTGCCAACATCCCAGAATTTACTATGTTGTACTAGTTGCCTCTCAAAAAGCGCATTGTGGGGCCGATAGTAGCTTATCGTGCTGCACCTGTCATTGTCAGCGATGCAAGGGTCCTCAAATGCGCAGCACGGTTAAATTTACTTCATTCTCGTCCTGGTTAGTATTATGCGGCATACAATATAGGTGCCTAGGTACCCCTAATATTTTCAGTGTCTCACCCAAATGCCAATTTAGTAGGGCTGATATGCCAAGGGTGGTCTAATCGAAACTATACTTCAAGATCTGCAACGGTTTTCGAAGGATCCGAGGGCAAAAAGATTAATCATAAAATCATGCATAATTGTAACTATATGATATACAACATACCTACATCGTACATTGCAGGGCTCTCATGTGCTACCAGACTAACGCCATTGGCGTCATCTCAATGCCCAGGCTACATCAACGCCCGTTTTCCCCACTGTGTATATTAAAAATGACGTATATCTGGGGAACACAACCACTCATTTCCTGGAGCAGAACTAACGACGCATAATTCGTGGAACAATACCATGTGATAGGCTTGTTCATTGTGGCAACTTCGCAGTACTGGTATCAAGTCACGGACTGACCGCTGAGTGGGCGAGAAAGTACCCTTGTCGCTGTTATTGCAATGACAGGGTTTCCCTGGCTTTAGGGCTAGAGATCGACAGAGTACGTTGTACAACTTACTGACATGCAAATATAGTTTTTTTTACCATTTGCCACTGTAACTGTTCGACAGATGGCCTGTTCTAGGTGTGGCTTGGGTTGGGGCGTTTATATATGTAGGTTGGATATAAGGCTGAATATGGATAGTAGTACCCATGTTTTGAGCCCTGGTACTTCTACAGTCAAAACTGGAAGATTTAAGTTAGATGCGGTCAATGCACAGTATAGAAGACATATCGAGCAGTGCAGTTTTTTTATGGACTTCACTTGGCACAGTGTTTGGGGAGTGCAGTTAACCACGCAGTTGAGGTATACAATGCGAGGCTTCGGATAGTAGCCAAAAGAATGATACAGCCAGGTACTGTAGACCCACACACAGCTGTGTACAACATACATAGATTCTGGTCTTCGAGAACTAGATACATAAAGTCTAGGTGTCAAATATGAGCGTTCATAGACGTGACGTAGGAACTAGAAAGAAGAAAGTCAGGTGCGGAAGTCAGGTGCCCATGGGTGATCTCACGGGAATACCCGACCTCGTCCACAGGTTCATCGTCGCATTCCATGGATGGTATCACGTTCTCAGATATGAACTTTCCTTTTTTTGGCTCATCTCTCGCCGCTTTTTGACCAAGTAAAATTGAGCACGCCCCCGCATCCGCTCATCCTTATATAAGCAGCTTTCAAGCAGCCCTAATCCGACACCTGTCATGGCGAAGAACCAGTTTGACGTTGGCTGAGGATCGCATCTACCTAATATGACAAGAAAGCCCACAAGATGCTACGATGCTCTCATTCACCTTTGCATGACCCTACGAGCTACCACCTCCCGGCGCGTTGCAGAGGCTACCAAGAAGGACAAGTACAACATGCGTGGTGGGTGGCCGCACGTTCAAGAACAAGAACAACAATTCGTCTCGCGATCTCGATGTGGGAGATATTCAACCATTCCTCGAATTGAGACTTTTCAAGACTCACCGACCTGATGCATCTGTCTAGAGGCTGAAATGATCCGGCCCGCTCATTCTACTATTCAAACCTATGTGTAATACGCAGAAGTCTAACCCGTGCGAGCCGTTAGGACGGCAGATCTTCCAGGTAGTCAGGTCGATCGAATATATGACACTTGGTTAAATCACCGAGACGTTCATAGTTCAAGTAATATATACATGTAGTTATAGCACGTGATGATAACGGGCAGAAGTCCGGACTGAAATATACTAGCCTACCCCTCGCTCCCCCAAAAGCGGCAACTAAGATCCATGGATAAAAAAAGCCCCACCCGTCGAGCTACCATGTAGTGAAATGGATACTGATCAAGGGGAGGGAAAAACATGAAACATTTTTGGTGCCCAATCCATCATTGCCACGAATAGTATCTCGAATTCCCAGTTGTCACAATTAGGTAGAAAGGCAAGAAGAATCAGCGCCTAAATGAACACCAACTCGAGTCCAAGTGCAAGATGCGAGCGACAAGATCATCCACAGAAAAAGGAGTCGATTGTACAATATAGTTTCAGTAAACGCCTTATCTCTTTTAGATGCGTTCTCAGCGTCTCATAGAAAGTTAGCGCGAAAGGGTCCGATCGTAACTATTTTAAGTGGCGTATGCGAAGGACATAGTTTCTTGTTTCGGGGGTTTATGCAGCAGGGATGCCTAATGTGCGGTCTAGAAGAATTAATATTAGAGTGCCCAGTTGTTAGGGGCGTTAAGACTAATCTCGAGATTGGACTCGAAGTGGGGCCCTGATGATGGTATGTATCCCAACCCTAGAGTTGGGGTTGGAGAGAAACAGAGAGAAGAGACAGAGAGAGAGAGTGTGTGTGTGTGTATGTGTAAAAGTGGAAAGATGACAATAGTATATTAAGTCTTGATAGAATGGAATATAAGAGAGAGTGTGGAGTATATAAGAGTTAAAACATTATCGAGTCGAATCCAAACATTATGCGCCATGAGGCTGAAATGCACTAATTAAAAATGACGCCCATGACGCCCAGCTGAATAAATAAAAAGGTACTCCAGGCCTGGCTTCCCTTCTTTTTCTTTTTCTCTTTCTCCCCAGCCCCTCCCCCGCTTTGGCTGACGATAAGCGCACACTTCTCGTATACAAATTTCGACTGTTTTGGCCCCCATTTTTTTTATTATTCTTCAGCATCAAGTTACTTCTCTTTTCCCTCGCTTTCTGGTGTTCATATCTATACTATCATCTGCCACCTGCACCTGATAACGCCGCACAGGCCCCTCTATCAGGGCCCCCCAATCTATATTATCAATATACCCCCCAGACTTTTCGCAACCCCGCCAAAATGCCCGTCCAAGCAATGTTTGACGACGAGTACTCCTCGCATGACTCGGAGTTCGAGACCGACGTCTCTACTCGGCGAACAGGTCTCAGAACCCATATCCGCGAGCGCTCTATCTCTCGCCACCGCCGCCCGGAAGTCATCTCTCGCGAGTTCCTAGCACCAATCCAAACCCGCGTGCACCGGTCGGCTTCGACAAGCGGCCGACGCCGCGAGCGCGACGTACCAACGGCACCACCACCACCCCCAGCGGTAATGATTTTCAACGAGCAAGGGCTGAAGTCAGAGAGTCGCTCGGAGAACAAGCCCCAGTCTCGACGGGTGCAGCAGCGGTTCAGCGAAAAGCATAACCACAGCAACCACAACCACAACCGCTTCGATGATGAGGATGACGATGAAATCATGCAGGCGCCGGCCCCCGCGCGCCGCCGTGGGCGCGCCGTCAGCAGCGTCTCGCGCGATGCCTCCCCCTTCCACCGTGACCACGAGCTGGCCATGAGCCAGCACCTGCTGGAGCGCAACGACATCCGGCAGGATATGGGTCAGCACCTGCTGGAGCGCAATGATCTCCGGCAGGACATGGATCTCTGGAAGCATCAGCAGGAGATTGAACGGCTGCAGCGGGAGCTGCAGAAGTCTCGTGGGCGCAGCGAGAACGAGCGCGAGAGAATTGTTATAAATCCGCAGCCCGATCCGCACGAGGCTCGGCTGCTCAGAGAGGAGCTGGAGTACGAGCAAGATATTTCGGAGCGGCTGCATAAGCTGCAGCGGTTCGAGCGCAAGCATCAATCCGCGGAGGAGGAGCGCAAGGCTGAAGAGCGCTATCAGCTCAAGAAGCTTGCGGCGGAGAAAAGGGCTGCTGCCGAAGAAGAGGAGGTTAGACATAAGCTCCAGGAGGAGAGGTTGAAGGATATTGCGCGCATGCAGGATGAGAAGGGGCAGAGGGAGAAGCTCGTGCGGGAGGAAAAGTGGAAGGAACTTGCAAGGATGAAGGAGGAGCAAGAGGAGAGAGAAAAGCTTGTGCGAGAGGAGAAGTGGAAAGAGCTTGCTCGGCAGAAGGAAGAAGAGGAGGAGCGCGAAAAGCTCATTCAGGAGATTCGAGATGAGGATATGCGAAAGGCGAGGGAGGCCGAGGAGAAGAGAAAGAAGGAGCTCGCTATGAAGGCTGCTGCTGTTGAGGAGTGGAAGCTTGAACAGGAGCGGATTAAACAGAGACAGGCGGAGGAGGCGATACGGAAGGCGAAGGAGTTCCGCGATCACCTCCGCAGCATTGGCTATTCTGAGGCGGAGATTGATGTTATCATCAATAAGAAAAAGGAAGAGAAGAAGAAAGAAGAGAAAAACGAGAAGAAAGAAGAGAAGGAAGAGAAAAAGGAAGAGACCAAGCTCACATGGATTAAGGTATGGAGTTACCATATACCTCTATATGCTGGGGTTTTAACTGACAACATGCTAGGTCCACCGCAAGCACTTGATGCCGGATACCTTGATCGCCTACGGTCTGCCTTGGGACTGGGACGAGGTAAGGATTATACCCTGTGTGTATACAAATGAAGACTAATATGTTCATAGCACGACACCAACTACATCATCATCAAAAAGTGGATAGACGACGACTTCCAAGAACAGCTCTTCGCTCATACCCGACGTCTACGCGAGGGCAAGGTCATTGCCCAGACGTCCCACTCGATGACCGAACTGAAAGTCAACGACCGCAAAAAGGACAAATTGTTCATGGTCCGGAAGAAGAGCCCTTCAGGCCGGGTGCGCATCTTCGGATAAATGTGTTCTATTCTGCGCTGCCTTGATTATGATTGATGCTTGGACAAGAAATTCGGATTCACGTATATGTTCTATGTGAACGTTGTTATTGCGTTGTTTTATGAGATCCAGTCTGATTGGACTGTTTCTTGTTGAAATTGTGCTGAGTTGTGTTGTGTTGATATCTGTTTCTTTTCGTTTTTATTTTATTTTTATATCACAGAGTATGTGGTACTATAGTAACGCGATATGAGCTGATGACCCATGTTTTTATTCTGATTCTATCTTCTCTATCATTGTACCACTTTGCCTTATATATCCAGTCCACCGTCTCCTGTCTAACCTACGGGCTTGGCGAACATCTCGCGGGCATAGGTGCTCGGTACAGCTAGAGTGAGGGATACCCATAGTATAGATGAAAAAGTTTAGGTCGAGGATTATATGATAGGCGATATGTGCAGATGCAGTACAATATACATGTCGGGCCTCCGCCCTGTGTCAAAACCTCCCATTGGGTCAATCCCAACGCAGGTATGCACGTCTGGGCACGGACCCGGATGCGAGCTAGAGCGGGGCCAATGGACTATAATACAGGAAATGGAATGGGTATGATGTGAGGGAGAGTGATAGCCAAGGGCAGGCAGCATGCAAGCCTAAAGACCCATCTGGGAATTCGTCTCCCACCGCCTCTCAGCGCGCAGGATGAGCTCCTCATAGACAGTCCATGCCAGCGCGGAGCTAATGGCCTTGCGAGCCATGCGGATACCAAGTCCACCAAAGAGACTGCGCATGCCATCCTCGTGGATCATCAAGCGCGTAGCATGCACCATGTTCCCATATTTGGCAGGCATCAGCTGCAACCGGGTCTTGACAGCATCAAAAGGATTGGTGATTGCAGTTGCCATGCCAGCGGCCACTCCACCGGAGACGAAGTGTATTGACGAGGACGAAACAGCAGATGGTGTCTCGCCATTATTAGAGGGTTCTGCGGCCATCAAGGCGAACCGTCGCTTCAATTGTTCGTAGAAGAGAACATAAAGGCCCGCATAGGGGGCATCACGAGCGGCAGTAGCGCCGAATCCTGCGAAGAGTCCACGCAGGCCTTCGGTGCGGACGATATCCCGGCCTGCACCTACTAAGCTGCGATACGCGTAGAAGTCTGACTCATAACGGACTTTGATCACGGTCACGGGCATCATTACGAAGCCTGCGGCTACTCTTGCGACGGCTCCCGTGGCGAGATTGGCTGTGTTGGAGAGTTTGGGGAGGACGGAGGATGAGCTAGCGGTTGTTACCGGACTGGCTAGGGCCATTGGGTTGGATTGCGCAACGGCTTGGCGCAATGCGTTAAGACTGGTGAAGTAAAGTGCCGACCCGATGCCGGTGCGGAGGGCTGAAGGGAGTGTACCCCGCCATAATCCACGGATTGGGTTCGGAGAGGATATGATCGCCTTCAAAGTTGGGAGGAGGGCTGCTCCCTGGGACTGTTGGACTCGAGTTTTGAGGAGGTCCGCGGGTTGGAGAAGGATGGAGGAGGTAAGGCCAGAGCAAAGACCAGCAGCAAAGTGGAAGGGTGTTTTTGAGGCTGGAGCAATGGGAAGATTATGATTAGCAATGGAATTAAAATGATTGGGGTTTGACCAGAAAGCATACTTGTTGAGGTGCTTGTTTTCACCCGTGGCACCGCTAATGTGCTATTGTTCGACATTGCTGGGTCAACTCGGATCGCGACTTCGGCGGCAGTGAATATATTTGGTTTGAAGGTAAAGGATTCAATGCCAGATCGAGGTCCATGGGCGTCGTGTATGCGTAACGGTCAAGCTGAGTCGAGATCCACCGGATGCGTAAAAAAACAGGGAAAACTCTACGGAGACGGTCACAGCGAGATATGGGCACCAGCTTGCATTCCACCAGGGAGTAAATGAGGGAAAATATAATTGAACAAGATAGAAAGCAATTGCAAGTGCTGAGTGTGCCGAGGTCAAGGAAAGACGTTGAAAAACAGTGAAGTCATCGGGATCAGCAACCGGAATGACTATCGATAAGCCACACCGCTTGGAGTTTTTGCATGTTGGTCTACAACATATACAACCATTGTACAATATATACGGAGTAGAAGAGTAGAAGAGTAGAAGAGTAGAAGATTACTATTATTTCAATTAATAGCTCATAGTTCAAATAGTATTCCAATCAACTACGTAGTATATCTATCGTATGACTGCCATACCATCCTTCATGCGGCTCTTTGACGTTGAGGCTGTGTACGCTGTACTATGTATGCCATTTGCAGCCAATGCATATGCATCTTGTTTTGTAGATCAAATGCAGGAAGCGAAACATACATATAGAATATAAATAGAATATAAATAGAAGTATAGAAATATGTCAATAAATAGCCCTGAGAAGAAAACCAACTGCATCCGGCATCTCGCGGGAGTGTGCACGGACCAATAAGCCCCGTGGGTAATCGACGTCATGTAGTTTGTTTCTCTTTTCCTTTTCTCTTCGGATTTAGAGACCCTATTGAGCGAACAGAGCTTACAGAGTTAACATCTACCTTTACCTTGGTGTACAGCATAATGCCTTGGTCTTTGCCCTTCTTCCCGTATCCGTCCGCAAAGGACGGATATTGGGAGCCTGTCACCTCCACCTTGAACTGGTGCGAAGAGGTGTGTATTCCCGACCAGTACTGAAGCGCACAGAGACAAGAACTACGCTAATGTATCCCTTTGCCCAGGACTATTATGCTACCGAGTACGCCGCCGAGATTGTCAACGCATTCACAAATTTGCTGTTCATGTGGCTTGGAGTCCAGGGCATACGGAGCTGCCGTCGCAATGGACATGACCAAATCTTCACGGTCGCCCTCATTGGCTACCTAGTAGTCGGAACAGGGAGCTTCCTGTTTCACTCGACCCTCAAATGCAAGTCTCCCTATACCCCAAACCCAACATCTGGTTAAACTGTGGCGGACATCCACCAAACATACCTAAAACGATATATGAGTGATCGCAAGAGCAATGCTGACCGGTGAACCTCCACAACAGACCCCATGCAACTAGTGGACGAACTCTCGATGATTTATACCACTTGCCTTATGGCCTATGCCTCATTCTCGTACTCCCGGGCCACCACCGTACGAATCTGTCTCGGAGTTTCACTCACAGGTCTTGCTGTATTCATCACCCTGTACTACCACTACCTCCAAGACCCAGTCTTCCACCAGAACGCCTATGCGCTCCTGACCACCGTCGTTGTCCTGCGCAGCATGCACACTATGGAAACAACCCTCCGACCCAAGTGGCGCCACTCGACGGAGGAGGACCGCCTAGCGCGCCAGAAGAAGGGACTCCCCGTTCCGACGAAGGAGCGCCAGCACTACGAGAACGTGCGCGACGAGAAGACCCTCAAGACTATGTGGTTCATGGTGGCATATGGACTGAGCATGTTTTTGGGAGGTTTCTTCATCTGGGGCTTGGATAGGGTGTTCTGCTCTGAGATCCGTCTCATGCGCCGCTCTGTTGGTCTTCCATGGGGTATCTTTTTGGAAGGTCATGGCTGGTGGTATGTGTCAAACCTGGACTATGGATTATTATTGGACGGTTTGCTAATTCATTCTTACTTGCAGGCATATCATGACTGGCATCGGTGCTTACCTCTATATCACGTGGGGAATCTGGCTCCGCCACTGCCTCAACAACCGACAAGACGAATACTACCTGCGCTGGGCGCACTTCTGGCAGATTCCCGAAGTGATCCGCACCTCGGGCGGACCATCCGGGAACGGGGTATCCCGAGCCAAGAAGTCAACGTGAAACAGCCGCCTAGACATTCTCTTCCTCCCGGTTGGTTCATTACTCGCACCCGTCGTTGTTTATGGGTGGCGATATACCACACTCTTGCAAATGTGACCCAACATAATATGAAATAGATACCACACTCCTTCCTGACTGTCCTTTGCCACGAAACTTGGAGCAGAGCACTGTTTTTTATTCTCTCTTATCGTTGCTTTTGCACAGCTTCCACGAAAGCAATTCGTCCCGGAGACGGACCTTTTGGCTTTGGTCCATAGATATACGATACTTTTTTTAGCTGGGGGAACGCGGGGCCGTTGCTATAGATGGGAGTTGGGCTTGTGAACTGTTATGATCGTTGATTCGGCGTACTCATTCATAGGATCTGAAAGCAATAGAAAAACATCCAGACGATGCAGCCTTGAACATTATATATTCGCATGTTCTAGAGTAATCCGCAAAAGCAGATTATACATGGTTTATATTCACACCCAACGCTAATCACGAAGCAGGCACAATACCAGACAGCTATACGAACCACCCACTTACAACTTCGACTCCCCATTCTGCACGGCCGTCTTCAACCTCCGCGCCGGCGCAGGAACATTCTTCAACCACTCCGCATCAACAGTAACCTTCTCAATCTTCGACTTCTGACTCCAAGCCGCGCGGAAACTCTCCTCCTCAGCACGCCAGCGACGGATCTCCGGCGCAAGCCAACAAACCGCCGCATCAGCGCACTCATTCACAGCCTCCTGGGCAAGGAGATGACCAAAGTCCTCGAGGAAGACATCACGCACACGACCCGCAGCAACGCCGCCACTGCCGCCCAGCCCGGTGCCGGTGTTGGCGAGCTTGTCGGCGCGCATGGCGGGCATACACATGTCCGACTTGCCGGCGAAGATGTACAGCACGCTGGGGCGCAGGAATGGGAGCTGGGAGAAGATGCGGGCTGGCTCTGGGCGGTAGAAGGGGTAGCTGTGTGCGTGTGTTGCGTCTAGATCTGGGTGTGTTACGCGGTTGACGGGCTTGGTGCTGTTCGGGATGTTCGTGTAGTTTGGCCGCGAGAAGGTGAATACTTCTTGGTGCAGTGGGGTTCGGAGTGTTACTGGGGGCCCGGTGGTTTTGTCTATCGGGGTCTTGGGGTCTAGTGGGTGGATGGCTGTTGGGAGGTCGCGCAGACCGTGCTCGATCCAGCGGGATAGCACGCGTGGATCCCAGGCTTGGTAGAAGGGGCTTCGCTGGAAACCTTCTGCGGCGGCTTGGCGCGAGGGCCAGATATCGCGCCGGTGGGTTGATAGTTGGGTTGTTTTGGCGATCTCGCGCTTGTTTGTTTGGAGGCTGAGACCGTCTAGTTGGGTGGTTTGGCGTTGGATCACTGGGTCTAGGAGGACTAGTGTATGGATGAGTCGGGGGTGCATTAGGCACAGTTGTGCGCTAGGAGATATATCAGCCAACTGCTGCGTAAATGTTTTGGTTATTGAAACTTACAGATGGGCGCCTCCCATGCTATGCCCTATGCCAACGATAGGCCGGGGCATTTCAGCCCGCTTGACATTGACTAGGTGGAGGAGATCTCGGGGGTGGTCGAACCAGCTAGCTGTAATAAAGTTAGCATCAAATTGCTTCTAATAAGACATTCATATTACATACGATCATTTCCGAGGGAATCTTCATTGATCACGCTGCTTTGGCCTTCGTGCGCCACGTCGGCCATCCAGATACTGCGAATGCGGATCCCATTCTGCTTAGATCGAGCGTGGATTTCCTCCCAGAGTGGTTCATATAGTTCCTGCGAGAAATGATCAGTACATCGCTGATTCTATACTTTGAAGGCCATTGCCATGAGTGCGCGCAGCTCGGAAAGCGGGTCTGGCGGCTCTGGACCTCGGCACTTTGTATCTCGTACCTTGGGGAAGCCATTGGCGTGAGCACCAAGGATAGTAATATCGCCTGGCTGTGGATTGGGGTTGTCCAGTGGGATATATTGTTTCACGGCCAAGTGTAAGGGCTCTTCTTGGTCGTTGGCCGTGGCTCCAGGATACTCCCTGATGTGCTGAGTGGGCACGATATGCTCAACGATGCGGAAGGGAGATGACATGGTGTGCAATGTTGCCCTTTGAGGGAAAAGAGATTGTACTTATTCCAGTTCGGAATTATTATAAGATGTAAAGGAGAATAAGAATAGTAAAATCCCGAGAGACGGTTTTGCGGGGGAAACGAGCCGAGGATCTTTGGGGTTGGAGGCATTCGCCTCTGTTCAACTGCCGATGACCATCGTTTTCATAACAGCTTATACTTAGGTGCATATAAATATGTAAATTCAATTAAATGTGATATTTTCGTCTTGCAGCTGCAATAAATGAGAGTTCCGGTTGGTTTGGACGCGATGTAGTGTAATTTCCGGACACCAATAGATCGGATCTCGAGCGAAGCTATACCCTGCCCTCTGTCAGGCCATGGAGGCTATAACTTACCTTTTCATACAAAAATACAACAAAAATACACCTCTAGAGTTTATTTATTTCAAGCTAAAGACGAGAGAGGTAGAATTGCCGCTAGGACTGTTCCTGACATGATATTCCCGAACAAGCAAAGATGCTATATTATTCTATATACTACTTACTCTGCACTGAGTGCAAGACAAGCATCAACAGCTAGGCCAACCCTACGAGGAACAGTTAGTCGAGGCCCAATATAACATTCAAACATTTGCAAGGATAGAAAGTACTCACCTCCCTTCTTTCATCTTGACGACGTCATCAATAATATCACGATCTAGGTTGGGAAACATGTTCGAAAGTGTCTCGACAACATTATTATGTTCAGCGCGTTGGATACGGCGCGCCTCCGCATCTTCAGCACTAGCCTGGCGTGCGGCGGCGTCCTGAGCGTCGAGTACACGGGTTAGATTCTTCTTCGCGGAGGTTCCGCTACCATGGGCGGAGTGGGCGCGCTCATCGCCTGAGCGGCGGCCGTCCTCGCTGCTTGCGCGAGGTGGCTGGTAGGCGTTCGGGGTGAGACGGGGCGTCGGGACAGGCTGGGGGCGTTCTTGAGAAGCGACAGAACCTGAATCTGGGTCGTCGGAGAAGATGCGGCCGATGGTGGAGAGCGGTTTTTGAATTGTGCGTAGTAGACCTGCGACTGGGGCGGAGGTGTCGTCGTCACTGGATTGGGTGGTTTCTTTGCGGCTTGGTCCGGCCTGGGGCTGAGATGGAGGGGGTTGGGTAGAGGGCTTTTCTTCAAATGGTTCGGATTCCCGATTTTGTTCTGCGATGGCGGACACGGCGGCTTCGACGTTGCGTTCAAAATCCTCGTCGCTGACTGTTAGACTTGTGCGGTCGAGGGTCTCGATGAATTGGATGGCTCCAGACTAAGAGATGTCAGTTTTTAATATCTAGGGCAGTATGGAAGTCAAACATACCAACGATGAAATGTAATATCCTGCTTCACCGCCAAGTTTATCCTGGTTGCGGAATCGAAGAATGTATTGAATGTTAGAAATAAGATGGTCAGGATTTGCATGCAAAACCACATAGATCAGGAGGGGGATAAAAGAGTCGGCGGATGTGTCGGATTTTTTGGAATTCTTTAAGAGACCAAAGATGACTTTGCAGCAGTTCAAAATGCAAATGACCTTATCTCGGGGAGCCCGGTAGCCATTGATTTTGGATATTTCTGTCAAGCAAAGTTAGGAACTTGGAAAACTCCCCAAGATAGCCCATAACACATACCTTGCTGCGCCAGATTCAAGAAGCGGCGTCCACCGCCGCTCACAGTCGGGATGTCGAGATGCGCTTCATTGACCCAGCTATAAATGCGAATCTTCTGGGCCAGGATATCGTCTCGTTCAATGTCCTCCTGATGCTGGCCACGTCGCCACGGCCCATGAAGCCTCTCTAGCTCTCTCCGTCGGCTCCTACTTGCACTTCTGGGTATCGTTGGCGGGGCTGGAATGGCTGGGGCGAAAGTCTGCGAATACAGGCGATTCATAACGAGTTTCTCCATGCCTTCTTTGGCATTATCGAATTCGCTATCCGATACATCTCGCCAAATCTCGCACATGGCCATCTTATTTGTGATAAACGTCAGGAAATCGCTGATGATCTTGACTTGCTCGTGGACCATCCATTGCTTCTTGCCAAACTCCATGAGGAACGACCGCAAAAACTTGGCTACGGGGTCGGCGGTGCGGTGACGCAGCTGTTCTAGGAAGCGATGGAAATCGAATGGCTGGTCAGACTCTGGTTCCGGCAGTGGTAGGACCGTCGAGGTGGACGCTCGCCGGTTTGACACCGGCGATTCGGGTTTGTGCGGATGTTGGGGTACAGGCTGCTTCTCCGGGGATGTAGCGACTGGAGAAACTGCGGACTCGGTGGAAGGCGCATGGTCCAAACTGGACTTGCGTGGCGGGAAAAATGTTGGGCCTCCTCGGAATTGCTCAGCAAGCTCGAGCCGTGGAGACATGATCACATTTTGGTCGGTGCTCCGCGAGGGGTCCTGGAATTGTCCCATGATACTTTGAATCTCCGGCTGGGAGCCATTATCATCCCTAGGCCCTTCGACCTGAACACCTCGTTTAGAGTCGGGGTCACTGTCACTAGGCACATCTGGGAGCTCTTTCTCGGGGCTGCCGGTCCGGTTTGTATCGATGGGTGGCAGTGTTGGCGCAGTGGTCGTGCAGTTTGTGTTGGGGTTGAGATAGACATCGTCCTTCTGGGGCGGAGGGGGTGGAGGAGTATTTGCGCTGGATGCCAAATCGGGTGTCGTATTTCCTGAGACCGACAGTCCTTCCATCTGCCCCGCAAGTTGTTCTTGCTCAGCCTGTGATGGTTGGGCAGCTGTCGTCAAGTCCATCGCGGCAGGATCGGAGAGATCAGCCACGGCGTGCGGCTCTTTTATATCTTGCGCACTCATTTGGACTGCTTGACTGCTGTCTGGTTTCGCGAGCTCGTCCTGTGTTTGAACTAGGAGATCGGTTGTGGCGGCCGGCGTCTCAGTGTATTCATGGATATGGGGGACGTCTCTCGTCTCGGGACCCGGAGAGGACGGGGATTCTGTGGCCGACATAAGCTATATTAATCATATGCGCCCGGACTAAAAGGATAGATTCAGGGGGTCATAAAGGCTCCGAGTATGCTCATGCGGCTCTCTCATGTTGATGTGCGGATCATCATTCGACCGAGGTAGTCCGCTTCTAAATCCGGGCTACACCGATGTAGTTATGGAGGAATGAGTGCCCAGGTGGTTCTTTTTTTTCCCATTCGAGTCTGGATTAACGGAGAAAAAGATCAATACGTACAGTATTAATTATAAAATTGTCACTCAGCAATAGATATACATTTACTACCTATATGTGGTCCTAACAAATGCTCAACCTGTGCACCTTCATAGGTACTTGTATGGTGCCCTTCACCTTTCACTGGTTCCAAAGTCAAACTCAGTATGAAGAGACAAATTCCATCTAACAAGAAACCATCTATAATATCAACATCTTACAATCCATTGTGAGTGCATCTGCTGATGATAGGCGACCTCATGGGTCTATGGATGGGTGGACCTCGGGATGTATAGACATGACTAATGCCTTAATGCCTCAGGCACTAATATATCCAAAAAAAAGCTACCCAGCTAACCATCTCAGAATAAACAACACTCCCACCCTGTTCCTCCGCCATGTGTGGGATTTTCTTTTCGCTGAGCTCATCAAAGACCACGCCATCAACACATGAGACCTGCACTCTGCTCCAAAAGCGAGGACCAGACAGCTACAAAACTCATACGGCGCAAAAAGATATCAACGCACAGGATGGAGTGTCTCCGCCCCTTTCCTATTATCTCACCTTCACATCCACGGTGCTTTCATTGAGAGGTGACCATGTGTATACACAGCCACTCGTAGACCCCACAACCCAGTCTGTGCTCTGCTGGAACGGAGAAGCCTGGAAGGTCAATGGGGAGCGCGTCCAAGGCAATGATACTGAACGCGTTTTCAACTTATTTCTACAGGCAGTGGATGGTGATCAGAAGGATTCTGTTGAAAGAATGGCTGAAGCCATTGCAAGTATCTCTGGGCCATTTGCCTTTGTCTTCTATGATGCGGTCAACTCAAGACTCTTCTACAGCAGGGACTGTCTTGGGAGGCGATCTCTCCTTGAGGGATTCGATGAAAATGGGAATTTGAAGATTTGCAGCATTTGTGACAGTGCATCGGTAGATTGCTTCAAGGAAGTGGGCACCGAGGGCGTTTGTACGATTGACGTAGCTCGCTATCAAAATCCCTCTTTATCTCCCAGAGAATTGTGCCAAATCGAGATCTTGCCATGGAGCTCTGCTGCTTCACCGCCAGCTGATCACATTGTATGTTCTTCATATCTTCCTCCGGGGGCTACAACTGACAAGAGACCAAAGAGAAAATTAATTCCACCCATGAACACATCACTACCAACAGAGCAGCCTCCTGCATTGACAACAGACTCAGTATTCGTCAAGGAGCTCGAGTCAAAACTGCGTCAATCACTCGAATTGAGAATACAGAACATCCCCGAGCCTCCAGGCTACATTGCAGGCCAAACTGCCAAAACAGCCGTTCTCTTCTCCGGCGGTTTAGACTGCACACTTCTGGCCAGACTCTCTCATGACATTCTCCCCCTCGACGAACCAATCGACCTTCTCAACGTAGCATTCGAAAACCCGCGAGTGGCAGCAGCTGCAAAAGCCAACCAACAAAAGTCCCCCTCCTCACCAGCACCCCTCTCAATATACGAAAACTGCCCAGACCGAATAACCGGCCGGTCCGCGCACACCGAGCTCCAAACAACCTGTCCAGGCCGCACATGGCGCTTCATCGCCATCGACATCCCCTACACAGAAACACTCGCCCACCGGGACCAAGTTAAGCGCCTAATGAGACCCCACAACACCGAAATGGACATGTCCATCGCATGCGCCTTGTACTTCGCATCCCGCGGCCAAGGCACAGCCCAAACAAACCCCTCAGCCCCACTCCCAACCCCAGAGTCTCCATCACCCATCTACACAACCTCCTCCCGCGTCCTCCTCTCCGGCCTGGGCGCCGACGAGCTCTTCGCCGGCTACGGCCGACACAGCGTCGCCTTCAACCGAGGCGGATTCAAAGAGCTGATCGCCGAGATCGATCTCGATGTCAGTCGGCTCGGCTCGCGAAATCTCGGCCGTGACGACCGCGTCCTCTCCCACTGGGGCCGCGAGACGCGGTTCCCCTTCCTGGACGAGGAGTTCGTGGCTTGGGTGCTGCGGGCTCCTGTGTGGGAGAAGTGCGGGTTCGGGCTTCCGGAGATCGACGCTACGGCCGGCATTGATTGTGAGAAGTTGGCGCTGCGACTTGTTGCTCTGCGACTGGGCTTGGCGAAGGTTTCTCGTGAGAAGAAGAGGGCTATTCAGTTTGGCGCGCGGACGGCTAAGATGGAGACGGGGAGGTCGAGAGGTACGGATGCTTTGAGCTGAGATAGCGGATGGATTTCTGCTACACGTTTTGAGTCTTTCGAGGTGCTTTGCGCATGCATATCCCCATACATCTTCCTACACATCCATCCATCTACTCTTTCTTTCTGTCCTCCTTTATAGATTCCTCCTTCTTCCTTTCATTTTTCTCCTCTACTCGCTCTCTCTCTCTCTCCACCACCACCACCACCAGCTATGATGACAGAACATGGAAACAGATACTTCCGAAACCTCCACCTCACCCAACAACCCAGCCTTCCTTCATTCCCATACACGCAGCATCCACAAGCACACCTGTCCATCTCGAATCCCCGACCCCTGCACACCAGAACCCCAAACGCCCCATCTCTCCTAGTGTCTCCCACACTCTTTCGTTCATGCATAGAGCAACAGCAGTCCTCGGACGGCGTGTAGCTCATGCTGAAAGGAAGCGGACCAGGCGCGTTCTGACGGAGGAATGGAGTGCTGTTTGGCTTTTTGGTACAGGGAGGGGATTTGGGAGGTTGGGTTGTGAGTGTGGATGGTATGAGATGAAGGGGGGTTGGGGGGATCGGGGTGTGTTTATGAGGCATTTAAAAGGCAAGTCTGAGCTGGGTTAGATTATACACTTTCATTTCCACCTTGAGGGACATGCATATAGATCTATAGATCATCGTGGGGTACTTGATGAGAATCAATCTATGAGGGAAGGAGATTGGTACTAGGGAGAGCCATAAGCCTAGCCTAGACATGATCTTTAGAAAAATCTACTAGAGCACAGTTTACAAGTAGGAATAATGGATAGAGCAATATAATTGATTCAAACAAAAAAGCAAATACGATATTAAGATAGCCACGAGTCAATCCCACAAAGGGAGACGATCAGAACCGGCCTAACAAATAATCAAAACCGAACTAGGTAGCTTGAAGCAGAGCGGAGAAAACAAAAGTGAGAAACACAGATGAGAAGGAAAAAAGAAACATTGACTGAGGAACTTGGTCTCAAAACTTTTAATAGAATCAGATGGGACGAACCAAATCGCGTCCATCTGATCCCGGTGAGACGTCGGGGCTAGGCTTTACCCATCACCCCCGCGCCTACCATAATACCCAGAGGGTCAAAAGGAAACAAAAACATTTTTAACAGAAACACAAACATGAAGACTGAATGTCCAATCGTTACAATCGTCAGAATCACAAAGTGGGCCATAAGCCGAAGACCAATGTCTCAAAATTAGGAATGACCAAAATGGGATGAAAGGATCACCATTACTGGTAGCTGTTTTGGATCTGGAGCTGAGCCTTGAGCTTGGCAATCTCCGCGTCGCGCTCAGCAATGACCTTCTGAAGATCCTCGATGCGGCGCTCAGAAGTGTACTGGCGTTCCATCTTCTTGGCACGCGACTTACGCGCCGCCTCGGTGTTACGAGCGCGCTTAGCAGCAATAGGATCATTGGGGTCAAATTCAACAGGCGTCAAGTTCTTGCGTGATCGCGCATTGACACCTGCGACGCTGGAGTGCTTAACTGTACCAGAGGCGGGAACAGGCGACGATGTCGTCGATCGCTTTGCGCGAGGAGAAACAGGAGACATGGAGATTGGCAAGGCTGGCTTCTTCTCTTCGGTAGGGAAGGCAGTTGCGACATCCAAAGTAGCGAGGTCAAAGGCATTTAGGTGATCTGACGAGTGATCAAAGAGGGAGGGCCATTCTTCGTGGCCGGCAATATCCATGTCGGTAAACATGGGCGAGGTATTTTGGCTGAAATTGCCGGGCGACTCGAAGGACGGAGTGCTCAGGTCGGTGAAAGTGCCGGAGGGGGAACAGATGCATCCATCATGAGATCCTTTGGCGAGATAGTGCCAGGAGGACCTTCAGAGAAGTCGTTGGCCATGCCAAGATCGTTGAACGAAAGAGCTGAATCCATGCCAGCAGGGAAGTCGGCAGAGGGAAGACCGAAAAGGTCAACCTCGTGAGCTTTGGTAGGGTTAGCGATGTGCTCGCTAGGATATGGTGAGATGTATGATAAATTACCTTCCATGAAATTGGGAGTGGACATGACACGTCTATATGTTTGCGTGTTGTTTTTGTGGTTTTGTTGACCGTTGAAAAGTGGGATGGGAGGGCGGTTGGTGTTTGGAGAATTGGAAGGCACAGAAGCCGTGTTAGGACGGTTGTGCGTGAACGTGGGACGGGACCAATAAGAGGGGGACCGGGCAAGCTGGGTCACTCTGGGGTCTTGGACAGGTGAGCCAGAGAACTGCTGCTGAAGGTGTCGGTGCAACTGCAGACTGAAGGAGTGTCGTCGAGGGTTATTCTGCGCCAGGAATGGCTGAAGTGCAGAAGGTCTATGGGTTATGTTCACGGGCACACGCGAGCGGGGCTGCGGGTGTGGTGTTGCTGATGGGTAGAGCACAAAGTCCTCGAGTGCACTGTTGTCGTTGTTGTTGCTGTTGTTGTTCTGATTGGAAGCCAAGGGCTGTGATGGTGGGGGTGAGGGAAGCCATGGTTGCTGGTGGTAATCCGTGGTGAACGACGTAAAGTCGATCGGGGTAAAGTTGTTGGGAGAACTCGAGCTACGCGATGCGATGCTGAAGTTCAGAGGTCCAAAAGGAGACTCTGAAGGGGGAAGAGAGGAGATGATAGGGTTGGTTCCGGTTGAAGAAATAATGTCTGTCTCAGTTGAGATAGACTGGTTGTTGAAAGACGGGGAGCTTATTGGGCACCCATTTTGGCGGTAGTGAAGTTGAGGATAGTTTTGGTTTGGCAGCAATATGGCGGTTTATGTAAAAATGTAGGGGATGTGTATATAGGAGACGGGTATAAGGGAGAAAGAAAATCAGGCAAACGGGGAGGGGGGAACTCAGGCACTTCTTAAGGGCTGTGTGCCCTGGTGCTGACCAATCGGGGTTCCGGAGCCGCACGGGGCTTAGTCCTGAAAGTCACGAAGTGTGAGTCACAGTGTGATCCATGGTTCTGATTGGTTGGATTTGACAGGCATCCATCGAGTCCACAGTACCTGCGGAGTACATGGGCCGATAGCCGCATATTCGCCTACATTTACCTACATCGTCCAAGTATCTTTCAAGTACCTGTCTCCACCGTCCTCTCCGCTTCTTTTCAAATTGACCAATAATCGGTCATATTCCTATCCCTCCGGGATTATCCAGGCATCCTACATTTTTTATTTTTTTATTTTATTTCCGTTTTCTCCATTAATTTTTTCCTCTTATTATTTCTCAAATCCTCTCAAACATGTACAACGTACCAAGCTTCTTTGGTTCAGGAAATAAATTCCATCCAGGTACCAAGAACATAATTCCAACTACTTCGTACCAGAGCGTATAGACTCGGGGAGGTACAGCCGTTCTCCATGAGGATAATGAAACTGCAAAGGATCCACCGATCTTTACCCAATTGTGTCCCCGCGGTGGGCTGAGTCCAGGGCCAACATCCTATGAGATGTTCACGTTTCCTTAGTCCTGCCGAAGGGCGTAAAATTGACTTTTTAACGTTGGTCCTTTTTGGTCTTCTGAAAAAATTTTGAAATGTACAACGTTATATAGATATGCCGTGGTAAATGTTTTTTATGTGTACTATTACTTGCTTTCAAATGGAAAGAAAAAAAGGCTCAATAGGATATTGGTTTACTTCGACTAAAGTTCTTAGATCAACCTGTTAACGTTATACGGAGTACGGAGTACGGAACACTCCGTACAATATAGTCCAGACCCAATTTATTAATTTTTTCTTTGATGTGGGTTTTCATAATGCCGACGTACCTCGGAAAAGGCCAAGGCTTCGCCGAAATGGGTGCCCGCTGGACACCTCATATGTGTGACCTCCAGGACTAGGTAGAAAAAAATGTCAAAAATGTCATCATGATTGCCTAGCATAACAGTTGATCGTCAAGTCTAGACTTTTGTAGATCCTCTTACAATCAGTGTCGCATCATATTGCAGAATGTTAAATGTAGGTAACCACGATATGAGCTCGTGTGAGAGGCCGATATCACAGGCATCGTGTACACGATACATCTCTGCCTAGTCGAATAGTAGGCTACTTAGTACGGCAATGATACAAGCATCAAACTGCACCCCAGACCGCCAACGCATCGCGATGGGGTCGCTGGATCCTCAACTACGAGTATTGCTTGCATATACATATGCAACTATGTATACGGACCCGATTTTCCATGGCGGGTGGGGCATTCCTAGAATACATCCAACATAGAAACGAACATGCCCTGTTGTGACTATGTATGATAGTTCAAGGTCTAATGGTTATATATATACGGAGTAGTGCGGACGAATGTGATACTGTGAAAGGCAAAGCCATCCACAAACTTTACTATCTGAACGCTCCCATAGTTCATGACTGCTTCTGCTTAACCGAGCGCCATTCGATCAAAAGACTCCCCACCATCGTCGTGCAAGCCAACGCGACAGGAAGGTACCAAGTACGAGTCAAGCTCCGATCAATACCACCCAAGACCTCATTCCAGCGTTGCATAGGAACCCCATTCTTAATATCGCCAAGTCCGTGCTGTTCAATAAACGCAGGTGTCAACCCTGGTACAACATCTGCCAAACTCGACGACAACTGATTCGTGAATATAACCTGCGCAATAGCGATAAACACCGCCGGACCCATACTCTGTCCGAACAAGATGACCCCAATCCCAAGGTTGACATCTGCCACACTCAACGTTGTCTGAACAGCCGCTTGGGGCGCTTGGAACCCGATGCCTCCGCTGAAGCCTACGAATCCGGAATAGAGGATGATCTTGGTTAGTGATGTGTGCAGATCGTATGTTGTCATCAAGCCTGCGGCAATTGGCATGCATATGGAGGCGAAGATCATAAAGGGGGCGTAGTAGCCGAATGTGGTGGTGCCGATGCCCTGGAGAAAGAGGCCGAGCATCATTCCGACGAGGATGGGGATCATTAGATACCCGCTCTCGCTTGGGGTCTGGTAGGATATAGTAGTATTGTCAGTACATTTTCTTGTAGTCACGAATTGGGCATGAAGTCTTACCCGGGATCGAACGACTTGGTAGTATGTTGGTAAGTACCACTCCAAGACGTTCGTCATTGAATTAGTGCACGTCGTGAAGATGAAGCCCGCGATGACACTTCGGTTTGTGATGATGCGGAAAGGGAGTGCTGCTGAGTCTCCGCGTCGATATTGATTGAAGGCAAAAGCAGCAAGTAGCACAGCAAATACAACGAACAATGCAATCACTTTCCCATCTAACCAGGGATACTTTGTTCCGGCCCAAGATAGCGCGATAAAGAGCGCTGTTAGGGAAGGGATGAACAAGCAGTTACTGACGAGGTCCAGTTCTCTGATTTTCTGAGCCAGTGTCAGGTCGTCCTCTTCACGGACTCTTGGATCCGAGAAGAGGAAAAACATAGCCAGCAGGGATAAAGCGCCAATAGGAAGGTTGATCCTACGAAGGAGTCAGTGTCAAAATACCTTGATCATATCTGCGACTAGAAGATCAGACCAGAAACACCATCTCCACCCCAAAGACTGGGTTAATGCACCACCTACTATAGGCGCCGCAATTATCGCAAGCGATTCCACACACGCCATTAAACCCGCAAACACTGGACGCCTGTTGAGCGGCAGAATGTGCACCACGACTGCAAAACACCCAGCCATCTCACCCGAGAACCCTAGACCTGTCACTGCTCTCCCAACAATGAACATAATCGACGAAGTAGCCGTGGCACAGAGTAAAGAGCCGAGGAGGAATATAACAATGCTTATTAAGAAGATAGTTTTGATTGAGAAGAGCTTATACAGCTTCGCGAACCCGAATTGGAATGCGCAGGTGCAGAGTCGAAATGCAGATGAGTACCATCCCACGTCGGCGACTGTGTGGAAATGGTTAGTGATGCTCGGTACGGCTGTAGCCACGATGTTGGCGTCTAGGCCTCCGAGGATAAGGACCACGCATAGTGCGATGATCGTGAACCAAAATTTGGTGCCTGTTGGGTAGTTGGGCTCTGTGTCTGGGGTAGATTCGATTTCGAGAGGCTCAATTGTTCGTCCCGAGGCTGCCGTAGGTGGTGCTTGGTTTTTCTGTTGCTGTTGCTGCAGGTCGGGCTTGTGAGGAAGGACCTCTGTCATGGTTGTAGTCGCCATTGTAGGAGACTCTCGAGAATGGGCATACGGGAAGAAAGAGACGAGTAGAAGAGGTACCCAATATCATACAAGATGTATAGGGCCAACTCCAAGCATGTGCCCCGCGAGCAAGCCGACAGGGATTAGTACCTCGGCGCGCCTCCGCAAAGGATTTTGGCCTGTTTACCCGGGCGACTATCGATGGAGCTTAAGACTACGTATAACACAATGCACACCAATATAAAGCGAAAAACTGAGAGATTCTATTAAGTATTACCTATCGCAAGGTGTGTCGCCTCTACGGGCGGAATATAAACCAGCCGTTCGGGACAATAACGGTAGACAACATTAGAGGGTCAATTTGGGTTGCAGGAAGAAACAAGTCAAGAGACCAGATCCAAAGCTCAGGCAACAATCAAAAAGAGCACCCATCCTCCCCACAGGGTATCAAACACAAAAGCAAGAAACCAAAAAAACGGCAGAGTGGTATCAATCTAGTCGGACGACACACCACGTAACACATAGTCGCGTCGCGAATAGAGTCACAGTCGCAGGACGCAGGTCGTAAAGGAATGAACCGCAGTCCAAAGAACTGCTGGCGTAGTTGGCGCCGATGGTATTATTTTAGAGAAATAAAGATCAAGGAAAAAAAGCGACAGCGGGTATCTCATTGTCGACATCTCAGGTCCAAGCCCAGAAATAAGGGGGGCCGTGGATACTGAAAACAACGACAGTGGCGAGGGAAAAGCAAAACAAGTGGAGCGAAGTGGTATCAAATTTGCACCTTCAGGTCTCAATTAGAGCGTCAGGGATATCGCGGGCGGGCGATGGATAGGACATATCCCACCACCGTTCAAACTCCACGACAGGTCTCCGAGTCGCACTTCATGCGGCAGCCTGAACAGGGGTCGCGGCGGCAACGTTGACGTTCTTGGAGCCCTCGGCGGTCTCGGGGGTCTCCTCGGCGATAGCGGGGGCCTCCTCGGTGGCAGTCTCCTTGGCAGGGACAGCGGGGCCCTCCTCAGCGGCGTCAGCCTTGGCATCGGTCTCAGCGGCAGTAACCTCCTCCTTGTCGAGCTTGACAGCCTTGCTAGGCTTGCGGAAAAGACCGCCGAGCTTCTTGGCCTTGGTCTCCTTAGCCTCACCATCGGTGACCTCATTGTCAGAGGAGTCAGCCTTCTTCTCCTTCTTCATGCCAAGGTTGCCGAAGAACGAAGTGCGACGCTTCTCCTTGGGGGTGGAGACGGCCTCGGCGGCGGGAGTCTCAGCAGTAGGGGTCTCCACAGCCTCAGCGGGGGCAGTCACGGCCTCAGCATCGATGGGCTTGACAGCGGCCTCCTCGACGGGGTTCTCGAGCTGAGGAGCAGTGCTGGCGACGGGGGTCTCCTCGGCAGCGGGGGCGGTAGCTTCCTTCTCGGACTTTTCCTGGGAGGGGCTGGCGACCTTCTGGAAGAAGTTACCGAAGATGGAAGCGCGCTTGGCCTTCTTCTCGGCCTTCTTCTCATCCTTAGCCTCCTCCTTGGCGGCCTCGGTAGTCTCAACAGGGCTCTCAGCAGTAGGCTCGGCAACCTCAGCGGGGGCAGCAGTCTCAGTGGTCTCAGCAACGACGGGGGCAGGAGCCTCAACGGCGGGCTCAGCGGTAGGCTCGGCGGCCTTGGTCTCCTCGGCAGCGGGAGTCTCCTCCTTCTTCTCCTCGGCGTCCTTCTTGCCGAGGAGGGAACCAAAGATGCTGGTGCGCTTGCGGGACTGGGAACGGCTCTTGGCAGCGACCTTCTCCTCCTTCTTCTCCTCCTTGGGCTCCTCCTGAGCGGCCTCAGCAGCAACAGCGGGGGTCTCCTCCTTCTTGTCCTCAGCCTTCTTCTCCTCGAGCTTCTTGGCGGCAACGACGACGGCAGGCTTGGTCAGCTTCTCGAGCTCAGCCTTGTATCCCTCACCGGAGGTGATGGCCTCCTTCTCGGCCTTAGCTTCGGTGGCCTGAGCCTCGATGGCGACAACCCAGCTGTCGCGTTCAGCGGCGCTGGAAGCCTGGAAAGTGTGCTTCTGGCCAGCAACCTTGAAGAGGAACTCGCTGGTACCCTCCTTGGTCACGTCAGAGACATCGGCCTATTGAACATGTTAGTGTTTGTCACATTGCGCCACAGTTTCCAAAGCACTTACGAGGTTGAAAATGCCAGCGGGAGTGGCCTTGTCCTCAGCGCGCTTGGTGAAGAAAAGCAGACCCTTGCCGGTCTGGCTGGCCCAGGCGGCGGTAGGGTTGGCGACGGCGGCCTTCTCGTTCTGGTGGAAGACGGAGAGGTGCTTGCTCTCAACAGCCTCCTCGTTGAAGTAGAAGAAGCGCTTGGCGAAGCGGAAGCCCCTGAAAAAAAAAAAGAATAGTCGTTAGTTCCTCGTGTCGCATTCGTAATCTCAGTCGCAACTTACTTGACCAGACCAGGGGCCTTGTAGCCGAGAACGCCCTCAGTAGCGGGCTTCACCTCCTCCTTGACAGCCTCAGCAGCCTCGGTGTTCTCGACGGCGGGAGTGGCAGTGGGCTCGGCGGCCTCAGTGGTCTCCTTGGGAGCTTCAACCGCAGCCTCGGTGGCAGCAGGAGTCTCAACGGCAGTCTCAACGGCAGGGACGACCGCGGGGGTCTCCTCAACAGTCTTCTGGACTTCAGACATGATTAAAATAATAAAGAATTAAAGAAGCTGAGCTTCGTAGGGAAAAAGGCGTGGGTATAGGGTATCTCAAAGGAAAAGCAATAGAAATTAGAGCACAATAGCTCGGGTATCACGAAGTAGGGGTATTTTGCTTTGTGGGAGGAAGAAGGGAAGAGAGGAGAGGAAAAGGGAAAAAAAAAGAGTCAGAGGGTTGTTGATTGCGTCCCAAAAAAGGAAAGGACCTGCAGGGAGCCCAGAGCTCAGTGGACCCACAAGATTAGCTAATGAGCACTTCAGGGGTTAATTGTTTTTTCTTTTTTCTTTTTTTTTTCTGGAATTTTTTCCTATTATTTTCCTTTTATTTTCCTATTATTATTACGATCACTCTTTTTAACTATACGTGCTTTTTTGAATCTCTCAAATTGACGACATTTTACTATGTACGGAGTAACCTGGAATATGGTTTGCAACTAACTTAGTGGTGGAATATAACCTTGGAAGTCTCCCCAATCTATACCTCTGCCTAGGTGAAATCCACGGGATACTTCGTAAAAAGATATACGAACTTCTTTGTCTAGCGCCATGCTAGACCTGATCTAACTGGATTTAGTTCCTAAACATCAGGAAATAGGAGAAAGAAAACTCTGCACATCTTGGCTTTCAACTGTACGGAGTATGAAACCATCACACCATGGCCACCCGAGCTATGATCGGCCATGCAGCTTGAATCAACGGTCCCGTTTAGTCCTAATTAATCTGTGCAGTTCGGATCCTCTTACCGATTTGACAGTGTCTTTGAATACTTCTTTTTGTTTCATCTGCATTCTATTCTATACAAAAAAAAATTTACCCATCTCATATCGTCATGGCGGGGTTATCTCGGATGGCATCAGGTCATCAGACTACTATCAGAAAAGTATAAGTGTACAATTTCATACTTCCTGGGCCCGTAAGGAGGTTCTACGATTGTTCGGTGGGCCGCCACACCGTTGGCGCTCATTCCACATCGCTTTCAACTCCGTTACACAGTTCAAGGGGGAACGTTGCCATCGGAATTTGTGAAATGATCCCATTCATTGTCAAATCAACTGAGCGTTTCAATAATGGTTCTTTTGTAATACTCCGCATAATCGACAACTCGATCCAAGCTTGCAAGGCTCTCCATCCCTCGGAAGGGCCATATCGGTACTAGAATATCCCTTTGGAGGGGCATCCCTGTACTCCATGCGCCCCCACCACAAGGCAGCCCGTCATTTTGCTCCCTTCGTGATGATCAGCCCAGTACGGAGTATGTACGGAGTAGATATGAACTTCGTCGCATTCATTCGCATGGCTTAGGCCGGGTATTGGCTACCGAGGCCATGCACACTCATCTTTAGGTTCTGCAAAATGGTTGGCCATCACGACTTACTGGTGCAATCTTTACTCAGATCCCATGACCTGATAATCAACTCTATGATGGAGTGGCGTACAAACCCTCGTGGACAACCAACCAGCAGTGACACAACCCCTCCTTCTTGGCTCTGCCTTTGATGTACATCCCTATCGGCGTATCAACTATCTTAACCACGCTGCGGGAAGGATCCCATGATGTTTTTATCTAGCCAATCCCACCACATTTACAGAATGTCGCCTCGTTACGTGATATCCGCATCATTCCATACGAGAATCGTCGGAGTATAGTATTTCACAAAAGAACATATTTGAAATTAGAAACAAGATCCGCAGGCTTGGAAAATAATGCCCCTAATTAAGCACCTTTTTTTTTGCCCTTTACATACAACACACTCCCTACCCTACTTTTTTCTAGATTCATCAGTGATAATACGATCAAAAAAGTACATGGTCCCCACCAGACTATGCATTTAGTTTCGAGTCTTAGCGAATAGGGGGCTGGCCAGCCCTAACTACAAATTCGGCGCAGGTGAATCAAAGCACTTTATTTGGTTCAATTCCACGGTTCGTATACAAGACAGTACAAGACAGTGTCTGCAGGCCCAACGTGAGAACGGAGAGTACCTTGGTACGCAAACACAATACACCATGGCACCATTTTATATTTATATCCTTAGGAGCTACGTGGTATGATTCCGATCTACAACTACCATCAGGTCCCAACATTGGCTGCCAGAATGTGGCAATTGAAGCATTTCCAGTAATGATAGCCACACGGGGAATCCACCCCCTGCTCGATAACCCATCACACCCTATCATGGGCCCCCTTTTTTCACCCATTATGGCCTCCAGGGCTACTAAGGACCATTTAGATACCTCCAACCCTGCCGCTTTCGCCCTTTTTTTGCGGTCGCGAGTCCAAAGTCTGAACCCTGCTCCTGCTTCGTTCTATGAATGGTTGGAATTTACCGTCATCGACGATCACACCATTGTTCCAGTCGGGCTTGTCGATCTTTCCTTCCCTGTTGTCGCTGTATGGACCAAATTTTGACACCATGCAAGTGCCATGCGTAGCGGAGTCCGGGCGTCTAGGGATTCTTTCCCGCTTTTTCGGAATGCATATTGCTCCATCTGACTACATTGTACTCCGTAGTTGTGATTGTCCCAGGGACATAGTTACATTGTACCGTACATGATGCAGATAACTATACGTTTGTAGCAGGAAAAAAAAAGAAACGAAAATATAGTGCCACAGCAGCTGGACGACAGTTAGGTCCACATAGGTACACAGTACTCCGTACTTCTCTTTCGAGAAAGACTGGACATATCTCCCGAGCATATTCCGGAGTAAATTAATCTTAAGACTTCCCGCCCAGCACCAACTTGACATGCGGTGTACACAGGGGACGGATTTCCCGTCCATCTAAGCTCTCCGATGGCCCCCGACAACTCTAGCGTCCACTAGATCAACTTAACCATGGCACACTCGCACACTTTGATGAGGATGGGCGTTTGCTTAATATTAGCTTGATATTAACTGTGGGTTTCTCACCCGATTTAATCTTGTACAATCTGAACAAAGGTATACTTCCGACGGACAGTATCCGAATCAAATTGTGATTCAAACGTCTTTCGGACTTTTGGGAAGTACGGGAGGTGAGAGCCACAATACAAAGTTGTGGAATAGGGGAGGATCCACATAAGCTCGGGGATGGAGTCTGGGCTTGTTTTTGAGGCGTCGAGTCTCGAACAAGGAGGTCTCAATTATTGATTCATGTCTGTGGTCCGTGTGTTGGTTCAGGATTTCATTTTCACTCTGGCGCAAGCACTTAGATACATACGGAGTACATGGAAACCTAGGAAATAAATGCAGAGTACCTATGTCCTGTACGTTGTACGGTGTACATACTCCGTAGGGCCCATTCTCCATTCTTTAACTCTGACAGGTCAGATAATCCAAAAAGGGAGGGCGGTGGATGAGTCATATCACATGCGTCGGGTCTTGGAATGGTCATGTGATCTCGCTTATTTGGCCAATCATCGGTGAGTACCAAATTATGGGATTTGCCACCGCCTTTCTGTGGGTGTATAAATACCCCAGCTCTCCCGGGTCTGCCTCTTCTTTTTCTTTCTTCTTCATACTTACCTTGTTTGGGTGACCGTGATCATTAAGACGTGTCACCACAAATTGGTCCCTGCATTGCACAGCGCGGCGGAACAGTTTGTTCAATGGTCCTCGTGGTCATTGACAGGCGCATTCTTTGGCACTCTCCATTCGTGGAACTCTTTCTTTTCATCAAGTTTTGAGCCATTGGCTCGAGGTTGGAGAAGAGATGTAGCCTGTAGATAGTCGCAATTTAAGCTCTAGTGACTATTGTTTACTCTCACTTGTAGTCGTACCTACATGTATCTCTATAATCATGTGCCAAGTCTATTGTCCCCTCGACGCGTCTCACGGCTCTCAGTTGTCCTGATGAGTAATTGATGGCACACTCATCTCGGGTTCAATCTACGGTGCTTCAGTGCTCAGTGTCCCCTGCTACGAGTCCTGAACTGCTGGATTCTCATTTCCAGGCCATGTTTTGTTGGCATGACGTCTGACTGGATGACTTCGCCACACATGTGGCGATGCACCAGGCCAACTCTTGCCAGCATAAAGCATCCTACTAAAGCCAAACTCACAACAGCTCCAATTCCAGTCTACCATCATTCTTTCCTGCAACCTACTCCCGTCGAAACCCCTGCCGCGCTCGCGACCAAAAATCTCCACCTCAACCAAGATGCCCGTCCCCACCGCTGACCTCTTTGACAAGCAACAAAACGAAGCCAATTGCACACAACCTCCCAGCTCTGCTGCACACACTTCTCTCGACCAGATCAACAACACCAGCTATTTCAGTACCGCGCCTGGCAGCTCAGCTAGTGCGTCGCAGAATGCTGATAGTGGTCGCGCTCTGACCAAGGAGGAAGCCGATCGCCTGTACGAGGAGCGCATGGAGGAGGAATACGCGAAGAGGGATGGCGGTGCCTAAATCAAATCTGGTTTCCGGCTGAACATACCCATTTCTGTGTGCTCGTCGACTCCAGTCAATAGGTCCAGCAGAAGCTGGTGTCTACCAATGGCGATGGGGTCGTGAGGATGGGGTTGGTCTTTCTTTTCTCTTCCTACGACTATGTATTATGAGTGCAAATTATCAATCTCCAGACAATTTTGTTTTTGAATTCCCAAGCTCCCGGCTTGATGAGGTGACACTGTATATTGGAGCTTCAAAAGCACTAAGTGATGCGTTATCCCGGTGTGGTGGTTGCACTCGGATGTCAGTATATTTCTGTTGGGTCCTGTTCGACAAGTATTCGCTATCCTGTTGTGTCGCATCCTTATTATGTGTTGCATATATCGCTGGTATGAGATACATCGCCCGGGTCTAAGCCGGGGAGTCGCAGACCCGCAACCATGACTCACGCTAGCTACTTACTGCTTACTGGGGCGCGAAATTACGCCAATGGCCAGACGTATGACATTACCCTGTAGCAGTTTTCCGTAGTAAACTTACTGTGGATTTCTAAAATCAGATAATGCGAACGAAAGGGACGGCAGATATATATATCTGTCGTATCGATATACAACACGAACCCCAGTTCCAAGCACGTCGCATATTCCGTCAAAATGACCTTCTACCCCAATCAAGCTACATCCGTGATCGTTCCGGCCGATTTGGAACATATCCACACAAGTCGCCTGTACCTACGACCGCTGACGGTGGCTGACGCCGCGGCCATCTTTGAGATCCGACGACGACAAGAGGTGGCGGACTGGGTGTAAGATCATACCCTTGGAACAACTACCACAGTAGCTCGGGATAGACACTGACTTGTGACTATCCGTAGCTGGCCCAAAGTCGCCCACAAAGATATATCGGAGTCCGAGGCCATCATTACCCGAAAGACATTCACAACACCGGATGCATCAGGTGCTGTTGGGCGGAGGTTCTTCTTCGCCATTATCCGCTCCGAGGATTCGTCACAGACGGTTATTGGAGCAGCGGGGATCAATGCTCTTAGCCCAGCCCCGTCAGTTGGGTATAATATACACCCTGACTTCTGGGGTCAGGGCTATGCCACCGAGGCAGTTGCTGGTATTATAGATGCGTGGTGGAAGCTTGATAGAATGGTTCTTGACGGGACTGTATCAGAGTTGGAAAAGGAGAAGCTGTTTGCGGCGTGCAATAGAGCGAATATTGGCAGTGTGAAGGTGCTGCAGAAGACTGGGTTTAGTATCTACCGCGAGCAGTCGACCGAGGGTGACGTGGTTGCACAGTTTGAGTTGGAGAAGCCCACCAGATAGCATGGCAGACGAAGTATCGACTCACTTGGTGATATCCTGACGCTCGAGGGTCTGGGGATACAAATTTGCCCGCTTGACCCCCATCTATTTTGCTGTGTCTAAATACTTTCTAAACATGTTGACCATCACTGCGAGTGACATTATAGTGGGGAATTTGAACATATTCTAGGGAATAAAGCGCTCAATATTCTAGTGAAAGATTGTGGATTACCTTGCAACCTTTGGTGCAAGAAAATCGAAGTGTAGACCCTTAAACTAGTGTTGACTATGATGATTTTGGCACCTCGCTTATGTCTTGGGTATAGTGATAGTATATTGTGTTCAATAGCAAACAACAACTGGAAACATGGGCATTAACACTGTGCAATCTCCCCCTTTGACATATATAATTCATGAAAGAGAGCTTCTTTCTTCATCCTTCGTCAACACCCAAGTTCTCATGGACATCCTCTACAGCACACATCTACACATCTACATCAACAATTGCCTATCAGTGTCAGATCTGGAACCCAATCATGTGAGCAAATGAACACATCCATCCTCGAGAAGGTAGGATCTCGGAAACTAAACCCTATATAGGGATCTGACAGAAATGGTCATGACATATGGCACCACTTCACGAGATTTGAAAAGATTTCGAAGTATGACACCCTTACGAGAAATTGTCCTGACTGGTATGCCACCGTCGAAAATTTTCAGCTCTCTTAGAGTATCCTTTCACCTTAGGGGAGCAACAATTCAGGTTGTCGGCATCCAAGCTCCGACAACCTGCGGGTGTTGCAAAGAGAAACCTTGGCCATTCGCAGAATGTATAACCCTCCCAGGCACTTCCAGAGGTTGTTGCGCAAACTGCATATGGAGCAATTATAAACGCAGGTGTGACCTCGCCAATGGTACATTCTCAAATGCAATGGATATTTTATTATATGTACGCTAACAGCCATTCCATGAAAGATGTGACTCCTCCCCATTCTACTCGCCAGTCTGCTCGCCGGCATAGGAGACACCGGAAAGCCAATCATGCCAAGTTGGTTCTTCAAGGAAAGGTGGCCAAGCTGAAACGAAAAGCTAAGCATTTTGATGAGAGCTGCAAAATTGTCCAACTTACCATGCTCGATTTTCTTAATGGAGAACCCACCAAAATGCTACAATATCAACTCGGTGGTGGTTTGGCCTCTCTGAGATCTCATACTGATGAACTGTTCGAAGCCATGAAGCGTGTTTCTTTGAAGGAAGACAACGAGGAAGACAACGAGGAAGGCGACGAGGCAGAGGAAGAGGAAGAGACAAAGGAAGTGACAGAGAACGAGGAGAAATGAGCAACCACCACGACATGTCAGTGGCCTGTGGAAGAGGAAGCTGTCTTTAAAGTTAGCCAGATTTGTGGCCAGGTAACCCCCAGTGTAGCGTCTGCTGTATGAGATCAACAGAAAAAGAGATGGAAGTGTTGTGTGGGATGTGATGTTATTTCCAAAGCCTGGAAGCCCCTACGGCCTCCGGAGTGCCCACAAATGATATGTAACGCATTAAAACCACCGGGAATGCATTGCAAATGATGGTATATTTCATACACCCACCATAGATGTAGACAGGGTGTTATGCACCTTGCTAGACTGTAGCAGATATTTATCGTCTAGGTAGTGGAGTGTAGAATCGGATTTCCAGGCAAATCCAACTTTTGGGTAGTACGCAGGGAATTTTTCTCCATTTACATAAGGGGCTCTAGGTAAAACGACGGGTATTGTGTCGTATATCTAGAATCCTGAAAGGTACACATGTAGGTCGCTAATCCCAACAAGGGGATTGAATAAGAGAATTCAACCACATACATGTAGGTAGGAACTCGACCTCGACCAAAAGACTATAGAAACAACATGTACTCCGTAAGTAGATAGGAACCATCGGGTTATTCCGATAGCACTGTAGCAGTATACCTTAGCGGTCACATATTTTGTAGCATGCGATGGCATGCTCGTTCCCCAACTATGATCAGTTGGAGAAACCTGCTTCCATTCCTTGGTAGGCGATTAGGACAGATCCACTGCTGATCCAGACCCCTGGAATACAGAAAAACAAAAAGACAAAACGATGATAGTAAGCCATCAATTCATCTGCCCAGGTGCAGATGTAATCGGGAATATAGTTACATGTACTTATGTTGCAGAAGACACTTACGTTTAGCCGTCTCATGACATCACGTGCAACCAAATCACGTGGCTGGATGCAGCCAGCTTGACAGAGCCACCCAAGAACGAGTCCAAGTAGAGCCCGGACTATCTGCAACAACAGAACTGAGGATCTGTGCCTCTCATTTCTATCTACTGTCGCTCTTTAGCCTTCTCCTTTTCCTTGTCTTCTTACCAAAAGACACGGCTCCTGGTAGCCTCCTTACACCATGGCTCCGCGGGACACCTTCTTCCGCTCGGCGGATATGAGCTTGACCCAGCTTTACATTGCCAACGAGATCGGAAGAGAAGTTGTCAGTGCTTTAGGTGAAGTTGGTCAGGTTCAGTTCCGAGATGTAAGTGGTGAAGAACGCTTTGCTTTGATACTCCCCGCTGACCTCTTTCTAGCTCAACCCGGACACGAACGCTTTCCAAAGAACCTTTACAAAAGAAATCCGTCGCCTGGACAATGTCGAAAGACAGCTCCGCTATTTCCACCAACAGATGGAAAAGGCCGCAATCCCCATGAGATCTTCCTCGGATTTCTCCGATACATTGGCTGCCCCTTTAGCGTCGGAGATCGATGAGTTGGCTGATCGCAGCGAGAGCCTTGAACAGCGGATCATCTCTCTTAATGATAGCTATGAGACTTTGAAGAAGCGCGAAGTTGAACTGACCGAATGGCGATGGGTACTTAGAGAGGCCGGTGGATTCTTCGATCGGGTAGGTGGCTTCCAGTATGCTGCCGTGATAGACGAGGCTAACTGAATAGGCCCATACACAAACAGAAGACATTCGTCAGTCCTTCGACAACGATGAAGCTCCCTTGCTCCGCGATGTTGAGCACCACGCACCTCGTCAAAATGGAGACACCCAGGGTCAGCAGAGCTTCTCGGAAATGAACATTGGATTCGTTGCTGGTGTTATTCCCCGGGATCGCATTGGAGCCTTCGAGCGTATCCTCTGGCGCACCCTGCGTGGAAATCTTTACATGAACCAGTCCGAGATCTCGGAGCCCATTATCGACCCGATGACCAACGAGGAAGTCCACAAGAATGTTTTCGTCATCTTCGCTCACGGCAAGAACATCCTTGCCAAGATTCGAAAGATCTCGGAGTCGCTCAACGCATCCTTGTACGGTGTTGATGAGAACAGTGAGTTGAGAAGAGACCAGATTCACGAAGTGAACACCCGTCTCGGCGATGTTGGCAATGTGCTCCGTAACACCAAGAACACCCTTGATGCGGAACTTTCTCAAATTGCTCGCTCGCTTGCTGCGTGGATGATCATTGTCAAGAAGGAGAAGGCCGTTTACGATACCTTGAACAAATTTTCGTACGACCAAGCGCGGAAGACGCTGATCGCCGAGGCGTGGTGTCCGACAAACTCTCTTGCCCTGATCAAGTCAACCCTTCAGGATGTGAACGACCGCGCGGGCCTCACTGTTCCTACAATTGTCAACCAGATCCGAACCAACAAGACCCCTCCGACTTTTGTCAGGACGAACAAGTTCACCGAAGGATTCCAAACAATCGTGAATGCTTACGGTATCCCCAAGTATTCGGAAGTCAACCCTGGACTGTACACGGTCGTCACTTTCCCCTTCTTGTTCGCAGTCATGTTTGGTGATTGCGGTCACGGTGCACTGATGACCCTAGCCGCTTCTGCTATGATCTTCTGGGAAAAGAAGCTGGCGCGGACCAAATTGGATGAACTGACATACATGGCATTCTATGGACGATACATCATGTTGATGATGGGTCTGTTCTCGATCTACACCGGTTTTATTTACAACGATATTTTCTCCAAATCTTTCACCTTCTTCCCCAGTCAGTGGCAGTGGCCCGAGGACATCAAGCCTGGCATGGTAGAGGCGACATTGAAAGAAGGCTATCGCTACCCAATTGGTCTGGACTGGAACTGGCACGAGGCGGACAATTCCTTGCTCTTTTCAAACAGTATGAAGATGAAGATGAGTGTTCTCCTTGGATGGTGCCACATGACCTATGCCCTTTGCTTGCAATACGTCAATGGACGGCACTTCAAGTCTAAGGTTGACATTTGGGGCAATTTTGTTCCTGGGTTGCTCTTCTTCCAGTCAATTTTTGGTTACCTTGTCCTCACTATACTTTACAAGTGGTCCGTGAACTGGCAGGAGAAGGGAATGAACCCTCCCGGTCTCCTCAACATGCTCATTTTCATGTTCCTGAGCCCTGGTACGGTGGAAGAGCAACTTTACCCTGGCCAGAGCTTGGTCCAGATTCTCCTGCTCCTCGTTGCTGTGGCCCAGGTACCTATTATGCTCTTCCTCAAGCCGTTCTGGCTCCGCTATGAACACAACCGTGCCCGTGCCTTGGGTTACCGCGGTCTCGGCGAGACCTCCCGGGTGAGCGCACTTGATGCCGATGGTGACATGGACGGCGGCATGGGTCGTGACAGTATGGCCAGCGAGGGAGAAGGCGTGGCCATGCTTTCTCAGGACATCGACGATAGCGAAGAGCACGAGGAGTTCGACTTTGGTGATATCATGATCCACCAAGTCATCCACACCATCGAATTCTGCCTCAACTGTATCTCTCACACTGCCTCTTACCTTCGTCTGTGGGCTCTCTCGCTTGCCCACCAGCAGCTCTCGATCGTTCTCTGGACCATGACTATTGGTGGTGCCTTTGACCAGGAGAACCCCGTGACCCGTGTGATCATGATTGTTGTCAGCTTCTACCTCTGGTTCGTATTGACGATTTGCATTCTCTGTGTGATGGAAGGTACCAGTGCCATGTTGCACTCGCTTCGTCTTCACTGGGTTGAGGCGATGAGCAAGCATTTCGTTGGTGAGGGTATTCCCTTCCTGCCTTTCAGCTTCAAGACCCTGTTGGAGGAGGACCCCGTGGACTAGTCCTTTCCTTTCTTTTTTTACAACGCACGGGGTTGTCTCACTCCCTGTTTCTTTTTTTGTATTGTAAAGGGTCTAGAATTATACATTATCTATATTGTACCGATCCATCCCACCTGTTATTGTTCCATTGATGTAGATCCCTACATATATCCACACCGAACTATCGTTTCTAGCGTAGATATCCCCCTTTAATTAAGTACACCAATGGCATTACCTAAATCTCAGGATCTTTTCAGGTGCGCATGACTGCGAGTGGGGTATAGGGAATTCATTCTTCCGTCGCTGATCCCGAGGCCGAGTCGGGCAAGGAACAGACCGGGAGGATCTAGACCATTGGACAACGCATCTTCGATTAGCTTGGAGATGTTGGTATGGGAGTATAGCTAATTGGAGAGAGTTTAGGGGTTTATCTCTGAAATGTCAAATTTCTGCAGCGATCAACAATAATACCTGATTTTTGATAGGAAGCTCTATAGTTAAGAGACGGGCGTTCCCGGCAAGGGGGGGAAACCGGGCGAGGGGGGGGTTCGGGCAGGTCACGCGGGGCAAAATGACGAAAACGGTACTGAGGTCACTCCCCATACTTCTACCCGGTTTAATCCCCTCACTGACGTTGAACTACTTTTTTTACTTTGTCTTCCTTGTTTCAAGATTGCCACTTCTACTACTTAACCTACTCTTCACTTGGAACTCAATTGCTACACCTTTTATTCTTCATACCCTAAATCCTCCATACAATACCTCAAAATGGCCTCAGCACCCCCCGTCGGAGCGGAGAACATCAACACTGATATCGTCACACTTTCCCGCTTCTTCACAGAAGAACAGATTAAGTACCCCGAAGCCTCGGGTGATTTCACCCTCCTGTGTCATGCCCTCCAATTCTCCTTCAAGTCAATTGCCTACTACATCCGTCGTGCCTCCTTGATCAACCTTACCGGACTGGCCGGTTCCTCCAACATAACCGGTGATGACCAGAAGAAGCTGGACGTGATTGGAAATGACATCTTCATCTCCGCGATGCGTGGCTCCGGCAAGTGCCGCATTATCGTCTCAGAAGAAGAAGAGGAAGTAATCCGGTTCGACGAGCACCCCAATGCTCGTTACGCTGTCGTCTGCGACCCTATTGACGGTTCCTCCAACCTGGACGCCGGTGTGTCTGTCGGCACCATCTTCGGGGTCTTCCAGCTCCCCGACGAGGTCCTTGGTCCCAACAAGACCGTCGGCCCCCAGGACCTGCTCCACCCAGGTACCAGCCTGGTGGCGTCCGGCTTTACCATGTACGGTGCCTCAGCACAACTGGTGATCACGATGCGCGGCGGCGGTGTCAACGGCTTCACGCTCGAGAACTCGCTCGGCGAGTTCATCCTCACCCACCCCAACATGAGACTGCCCCCCGCGCGCTCCATCTACTCCGTCAACGAGGGCAACAGCCAGTACTGGGACGAGTGGTGCAACGCCTACTTCCACAGCCTCAAGTACCCCGAAAACGGCGGCAAGCCTTACAGCGCCCGTTACATTGGTAGCATGGTCGCCGATGCTTACCGCACTCTGTTGTACGGCGGTATATTCGCCTACCCGGCCGACTCGAAGAGCCCCAAGGGCAAGCTGCGTATCCTGTACGAGTGTGCGCCCATGGCTATGGTCTTCGAGAACGCAGGCGGCCTTGCTGTCAACTCGCGCATGGAGCGGTTGATGGAGGTTGTTCCTGAGAACATCCACGATAAGAGTGGTGTCTTCCTTGGCTCCAAGGATGAGGTCCAGAAGGTCATTGATATGTACAACAAGTACAAGAAATAAGCGTCTCGCTGAGACGTTCTTTTATTCTTTCTGGATGCTGGTTTCCATCGGCATATTCCCTCTTAACACTATTTATTCATCTATCTCATTCTTGGACATGATGATTTAAGCTGGTCGGAGCTCATATTTTGGTTTCCCGACCTCTGCCACGTTGCAGTCTTGTTATTTTCAGCGCTTTACGATACTTATACCTGCACACAAGTCGGGATTAAAAATAAAAGGAAATCATTCAATCATAATGTTCTGTAGTGCTACTGACTATTCCGTGTATACTCCGTGGCTTATGCAGAGGATGGGGACGCCACTAGATCGGGTCCCACAGAGCATCTGGGCACACCTGCATACTTACAGGGCTAGCTAACATGCTTACTGATGTTTAATTGATGTGACATCTATATAACCCTTGATTAATTTTTACAACAGCCCAGACCCTGCAGCAATACCGGCCTTCTTAAAGTGGAACTGACTCACACCATCTCGGCACTTATCCCCCCCGGGTCGAAGTTCAAGGCCCTAGCGAATCAGAACTGAGCTGGGCACTTGCTTGATGCGATTTTGGTGATAGCGTCAAAATTTACCGGCGGATTTGATGACTCCTCATTCGAGCGGCCGATGGCGTGCTCCGAGCCAGCCCTATAATAGTCCAGAGCTTCCAAGAAAAATAAAAAGAAACAATCTTAGATATCTGATCGGCGGTGTCATATCCCCATACCCCAGAATCTAGTGTTGTTTTCACAATAAGATACATAGCCCTGGAGGTAGATATTCAACCATGTCTTCTCTACCCACCGAGAAAGCCCCACGGACAGTGGAAGCCGAGGAAAACCCCACAAAATCAGAGAATCCAGCCGGCTCTGAGCCCGCACGCCAGAAATGGTATGAGTGGTTTGCGCCAACAGATACTCCCGCCGAGCGGCGGCTGATTCTCAAGCTCGATGGACTGATCATCGTCTTCGTTTTCCTGGCATACTGGGCCAAGGTCTTGGATTCTTCGGCTACAAGTACAGCCTATGTGTCTGGCATGAAGGAAGATTTGAAGCTTTATGGGAACCAATTGAATTATCTGCAAACCGTCTACATGTATGTCAATCCGATGGGTTGGTGATGGTGCCCGGCGAGTGGGAATTGAGTATTGATGCTGACTTGGTATAGGGTTGGTTTCATCACGATGCAGATTCCTCTGACATTATTGGTTCGTTGTCACTTACAATCCATCCCATGGAGACACTGATTTGCTCACTGCTTTTCATAGATGACTCGCTGCCCCGTGAACTATTTCCTGCCTGCCGCTGATCTATTCTGGGGTGTCTTCACTCTGGCGCAGTACAAGGCCAGCAATGTCACCCAGCTCTACGCTCTCCGCTTCTTCGTCGGTGCCCTTGGTGGCTTCTTCTTCCCTGCCGTGCAATGGTACCTGGGTAGTTGGTACAAGCGCTCGGAACTGTCCCGTCGAGGCGCAATATTTTTTATTGCCTCCCAAGTCGGCAGCATGAGCTCGGGATATATTCAAGCGGGAGCTTATGCCAGGCTTGATGGTCGGTATGGGATTGAAGGGTGGAGATGGCTGTACATCATTTGTGAGTGCATCCCAAGTGTCTCACAAGAAGAAAAAGGATACACAGACTAATGAGACCAGGCTTTGCATGCACAATCCCCATCGCCTTTCTAGGCCTTTGCGTCCTCCCCAGCACACCCGACAAATGCAACTCGCGCTTCCTCAGCGCCGACGAAGTCCGCCTCGCACAAGAGCGCATGGCATCCGAGAACCGCGAAGCCCGCCAACCCTTTACCAAGTCGAAGGTTCTCCAGATCCTGAAAGGTTGGCGGCTGTGGGTTCTAGTTGCGTTTGCATTCTTTTTCTCGCAGGCAGATGGTGTATCCTCGAACAGCGGCTTGCCGATCTGGCTTAAGGAGGAGGGATACTCGGTCGAGAGTATCAACACGATCACGACAGTCTCGCCGGCGGTCACCATTGTGGCCTCTGTGATTTGTGGTGTTCTCTCTGATGTATACGATGCGAAGGCTAGCTTGATTGCTATCACTGCTGTGCTGAATATCTTTGCTTGCATTGTGCTAGCTATCTGGAATGTCCCTGTTGGACTGAAATTCTTTGCGTTCTTCCTGTCTGGCACGGCGGATGGTATTGCGGCTATTATTTATGCCTGGGCAAATGAGATTTGTGCTCATAGTGCCGAGGAGCGTGCTATTGTCATCAGTGCGATGAATACCATTGGTAATACGTTCGGGGCTTGGATTCCACTTTTGTGAGTGTTGTGCAACCTGCTGATGCCGAACTTTATACTAACCTTTTTTTTTTTCTTATTTAGCGTGTGGAAGACTGTTGATGCTCCAAGATACCTTATTGGATATAACTGGACTATTGCCCTTGATGTGTGCATGCTAGCTATGCTGGCTGTTCTATATCAGTTCTGGGCCCGCGAAAAGAAGCGGTCTCAAGCATAGATGGGTATTATACTGGAAAGGGGTAAAACAATAGATTGAGATAATTTAATGATTATGTATATTCTGACTTTTTCCTTCGGTGTTCTATATTGTAGTAAGTAATTGTAGTACGGTTGTTACCACCTCGGGAGCGCTCGGGCCGTTGCCCAGTGTACATACGTGACGTAAGCAGAACTCGCCTATGGAAAGGCTAGTCCCAATATGGGCTAGCTCCGGGCTGAAGGTGATTCCGCGCCGTCAGAGCTTGAAAAAAGTACAAATTTCTGCTTTCACTCTTTTCTCTTCCATCATCCTACGCTCATCTTCAGCATGGTTAATGCTTCCAATGCGAACGGAGACTGAGGTCGATTGATCACTGGCCTTATGCCAACCATAACTCTCAACATACCGTGTTTTTTTTACTAACCAACAGGTGCTTCTGCAGGATCTGCAACGATGGTAAGATCTTGTCCACTCCATTCCCCCAACACATCCACGCACCTCCAACATGATGATACCTTTAACCAAACAAACTAGAGTCTTTGACCTCAAGGGGAATGAAACTTATGTTATTGCACGTCAGGCTGATCTCAAAATCATTGCTTTGAATTATCACACAACCCTTGATGGACTGAGCTAACTTGCCTTTCCAGAAATGATAGTACATACATCTCATCGATTGCAGATACCACTTCACAACACGCGCAGATGGTGAGTTATCTTTGTCTCTTTATTCTACCTCTACCCTATATCATGATGAACGCGATGTGTATGAAAATACGCTGGAAATTACCGTCTCAGACCTTCGGGTCGGTGATGATACAAATGGCTATTTCTGATCTTTACCTTACCTCAACATTTGCATGAAAAATCTTTTCAGACCATAAGCTAATGTTTCGAAGACCTATAGGTTACTGCGCTACTGGCTCAAATGGTAAGCCTAAAGCACCTTTCCTACATCAATATCTGTCCGAAGATGAAACGGCACTGGGCTCCGACGGCATCTTAAGTGATGTCCGGTCATGATTGGATGCGCCTTTTTTGCGGCAGGCCTAGAAAACCTCGCCCACTGAGACATACCATATATTCATCGACTCGTGAGACGGTTGTGTGACACAGTCACTAACCTTTTTGAATAGAAGCCTATCTGATTTTGCACGATTTGAGATCCAACCGTAACTGTAGAAGGTAAGCGACTGAGTCTTGTTGTTCTTGCTGCCCTACCTTCTATGATGATACCCTTTAGATGACGAGTCTGATTCGAGTTTTCGATGCTGACACAATCTTTTTAATAACCATTCATGCCTTTCTGACATTCATTCCTACACAATATTTCACTCATCAAATTTCCTTGGCTTGTGCTAATGATTCTTTGAAGACAGATATTTTGCAATATGAACTCTCCAGAGCTCTCTTGACTTGACTTGTGGGTGTATGTACACCTTGTCTCCTTCCCTTCCCGACTTTTACATGATGAAACGACATAAAAGACAAGCATATGTCCTAGTCAGCTTGCTGGCGAAGACGAGAAACTGTCATGCCTGATCAATTCACGAGTCTAATGCATTGCTGCAATGACCATTCAGTACTCGACGCTGATGGATCTCGAACAGAAACATTTGAGCGAACTAATAATTGCAGACGTCAATGGCGATCTGCTTCACTGCTTTCTGTAAGTTTTGTCATTTTTTTCTCTTCTTTCTTCCCTCATCTTTTTATGATGATTCACTTCAATTTATCACGACGGTCAACGTAAGGATTTAATATTGACGACCATCGCCTGTGACAAGGCTTTTATCTGAAATTTGTCCAAACATATTTTGTTTCTTGCCATCGCTTGTTAGTCTTTATACTAATATCGACTTCAGTTGAATAGTTCCAAAATATGTCGGATCCGTCGGTATTCCCTCGGCCGCACGTGGCAGATGATAATATCCCCGTTTTTAGGGAAGTCCGCAGTAGTTAAGACGAGTTTAATGGCCAATACCAATAAGAATGCAAGAAATCTCTAAAAAAACATATGATCCTTACTTAAAAATGTAGATGTGTATTAAACTATGATTCTTTTTTTGGATATCTTCTACCCTATAGACATCCCTGCATACTCTACGGAGTAGCCACTCTTATGTCGTACGGCTTTAAGATATATCCCCCATCCTCCAGGGCTCTCTCTGGTTTGTTGTTTTATTGTGGGGATACAGGGGACAAGGGTCGTTGGGCCTCTCATAAAGAACGATAGGCGCCGAGCTTGGGCCCCGAATGTGATGAGAACCTCGCCAGGTGCATAACAATCCCCGCTTCGGCCTGGCTCATTTGTTCTCGGAATTCTTCTTTCTTCTGTTCCAAATATAGATTTCCTTTTGCCGTATGGTCCATCAGGCTTCTGCCGTACGGAGTACTACTCCATAGTAGCTAGGCTATTGTTTCCCCCCCTCAACCTTGCCATCCGCAGTTGCAAAGAATAGAAAAATTAGCGTTTCGCCTGTTTCGAGCCAATAGCTTTTTCTCTGTTCTGTTGGGTTATCCTCTTTCATTCCAGGCGGCCATGGCTTCCGATCGGGCCTCCTAGATGAATGCACAGCCCAATATGAATAGGTGCGACCCATCTTATTCTCGGGCATTTCTATATACTGATCCTCCCTCTTTAGCTGGTTGGGTTCAAATCATGCAGGCGTCGAGCAGCCGCTGAGCAACCATTACCCGGGCTGGTCATCGACAGCTGCGAGTCCTAGCAATCAGCCATCACCAGGTCGTCGAGAACATGCTGTACAGCCGCCATTGTTGACAACAGCACTGAGTGGTCCTCAGTACCAGGGTCTTGGGGCTAGTCTTGGATTAACACCGACGCCTTTATCATCAACATCGCTTTCGAGCCCATTCACTCACGGTATATCGCCGGCTGTTCCATCGCCTATTAACGGCAGATCCGTTTCGTCGTCTTCCATGGCGTCTAGAAACGCTTACAATGTTCCTTATAATCCCCAGGACTGGGGGCCACCGGGCAGGCCCCAGGCGCAGGCCCCGTATCTTCAGCCAGGCACTATGCATCGCGTGACGCCGCAAAGAAATAATCCGGGTCAGTCTCACTCACAGCCCATGCCTTTGCAGAGCAGTGGTATCCTAAGACCCGCTTTGAATTGATATTGATTCTTTGGTAGATGTGTCTTTGTCTGCACCTCCTCCGCCATACTCACCTCCCAGCAACCAAAATCGAATGTCCCCGGACTTTTCTGGTCAGACAAATCCTAACTTTGCCGGAACGCCTTCTCCGCCTGATAACAGGGAGAATGGGTTTGAGATGCCTGCCCAGTATCAAAGACGCTCAAACCGGCCACGGCCATTATCTATGGCTTACCCGTCCGACTTTGGGTCTCAGCGCCAGTCGCTACCTCCTCCACCTCCCCCGCAGGGACATCCAGCGAGTAGATCTGTTTCGCAAGGTCGAGTGGAGTACCAGGGTATGCCCTATAATGAACAAGCTACGCAGTATAATGCTGCAGCTAGCCACAGGCCCCGGCTGGCACAGTATGACCAAGGCCAACCCTCACCCGCCTTTAACGAGCATATGTCGGCAACACCTGCTCACTTTGAGACACCAACCCGGGCCCCTGGATCCAGAAGAGCCGCATCTGCTGGGGCTGTGGTAAGCAGTGCAGGCTCATCAAGGGCAACGAGTCAGTCGCGAAATCGATCGCCGTCAAATAGTAACTGGGAGCCCGGGATGCCACTTCCTCCGCCACCTCCAGGGCCTCCTCCCGCTGCGAGGTCCGTCAGCGTGAGTGGCTCGTCGGAATCATCTCTGAGAACGACCCAGAGCTCGAACAGGACGACGAGAAGGGGACCTCCCGTGCTAGGAACAGGACTGGGAAGCATTCCGCCTACGCCAGCTGACTGGATAGACGAGGGATATTTGAACAGTCGACCAACGGAGACTTTATATGTTGACACGGCAAAAGCGGCCAAGGCACCAGAGCCGACGGATGGAGATCCCCACGATTCATCTAGTCAACGAACTCCCGGTAGTGGCGGTCTTTTCCGCAGCTCAGCAGTCCGCGATCCAAGTGCCAAGGGCATCCGTGAAAGACGAATTGAACGACGCAACCGGCAAAGCCAGGTCTTTGAGCCCCCAAGTGCGATATCGGCAAATGGTAATCCTTGGGCCGATGCTTTGGAACAGATCAAACCGTCAAACCTGATCCTACCAGACCAGACCAATAGCCCAGACCAAGATCGGCATCCGACGTCGGGCAAGTACAATAAAACCCCTCTCAGTACCCGCAGCATTAAATCAGAAGGACAACATACTGCCTCACGGCCTCGAGCATCGTCCAGCGCTCTCCTTCCAGAAAAATCACCATATGGGACTCCCATACAACAGCCCAGCTCTGCTGGCCCCTCGGCTGTATTTGCACATACGCCTCCATTTTCGCCAAATCCAAATGGAGTGGGCTCGTCAGCATATCCCAAAGAAGCCAGCCAAGCAGTACCACCAAAGGCACTTCCAACTCCGCCTCTTAACTCAGCAAAAGAGGTCCGGCCACGCTCACGTTCCCGTGCACCGCCCGGAGGAGCGGAAGAACGTCCACTCTCTCACATTCTCCACATGCCTAATGATGCTGTGTCGATAATGAAACCCTTGTCGCCACGCCGAACGCCAGGACAGCAAACGATGCAGGTGTCGATGGAATCTATCCTTAGACAAGATCCTGCTTTCCTACAGGATGCGATTCAAAGGCACAAGACCTTTATTGATAAAGAAGCCAGTGCCGAGGATGATACCGAAGCACTCAAGATCTTTGCGGACTATATGCTTGCCGAATCTCAGATCCGGCGCCAGCGGTATTCCAAGGTCTGGGAATCTTTCAAAGTAGACGATGTGCGTCGCAACCTTTTCGAGTTGCCGGTCAAGCAACCACCAAAACCTAAGCCTCAGCCAAAGCTAGATATCCCACAAAACCGAGCAGGTCGACCGGAGTCTGCGTGGTGGAACAACTATCAGCCTTGCCTGTCGCCGATTGCCAGCCTCAATATGAGCAACGACGAGAGCTCTCGAGGCCGTGCACCAAGTCGCTGGTGGGAGTCGGCAACCGGTTCC